CCAAAGATAAGAGCCGATTAAGAATCCATTTGATTCAGTAGACTAAACATCGCACGTGTGGTGGACTTGTCTTTCTTAAATAACTGTCATCTTACAGTGTTGAATATTAGACTTAACATTGACTAAACAAACTATGAGATATTTTTAATTGTCACAGAGTACTTATACCTGCCAATAGTCCTGGTATGAAGCACACAGCGGGGCTATTTCAAGATTATTGGTCTACAATGTATCTACAGACAAAAGGTTCCGTATATACATAGTTCTCTTAGATCTCCTTCAGAAAGCACTCATACATGAACACATTTCTGATGATTTTCTTCAGACTTAGTCAGTGTCTCAGAATGTTTTATTAAACACTATAATTGCTTAACTACCAGGTTATTTTCACAAAAAAATATACAAAAATTTTTGAGCCATGGGATGGATGATCATGGGATAAAACACAGTTCCGTTTACGTTGCAAAGTAAAAAAAAAAACAACACAATATTCATTGTGTTTATTTGTTTATTTGTTCAGTATATTCACAGGGGTATTCCGTGCTAATTCATGGTGCATTCAAAGTGAATTGGACACTTAAGGTTAAAATAGCTGAACTGGAAATGTTCTCTAATTTAGCAACGCTTTCAGTACAGCTTCTCTAAATTTAAATCTGAAATTCACTTTTAATTTTCACTTTTGTAAATATCCCTGACTTATTGAGATAAAAACATTTGAAGTGTTATAGACTATCAATTATCTCACAATACATGTAAAAAACAGATACAATTTGTATCTTGTAATACCTTTTTTATTGGAATTACAGAATTTTGTAAAGACAAGCTTTCAGGAGAACCTCCCTTTCTCAGTCTAAAGCATTTCTGAGCAAAGATGACACATCGAATTCAAAGTTTTGAATTCTACGTGTCATCTACAATCTCTACTCACAATACTTCATAGAAGTTTTAGCACAGTAGCAGGAATACCACTGTTATCAAATATGTTAGTGAATAACCCAAATTCATGTGTTCAAAAACCCAACTTATGAGTATTTACAAACAATCAAGTGACATAAATAGAAATGCAGTTTCCTAATAATGAAACCAATATGTAATAATGCTAAAATAACATATCAATCATTTTGGCATACCGAGCATTAAAGGCTGCTATAGCAGACTGCAAAGAAACCCTATAGTGTGCTCAGAGCCCGCTCATACATATAGAAACTGATCAGTCACAACATTAAAACCACCTGTCTAATATTGTGTAGTTTCCCCTTGTGCTGCCAAAACAGCTCTGATACATCGAGTCATGGACTCCACAAGACTTCTGGACGTGTCCTGTGGTATCTGACACCAAGGCAATAGCAGTGGATCCTTGAAGTCCTGTAAGTTGCTAGGTGGGGAATACATGGACCAAATGTGTTGTTCCAGCACATCCCAGAGACACTCACACACTCAGCATTCCACCTGATCTAAAAGAAAACATGATCCTCAGACCAGGCAACCTTCTTTTATTGCTCCATTGTCCAGTTCAAACGCTCATGTTTCAGACATGGATAGAGGTCATCACAAGCACTCTGACAGGTGTGAATAGAAACACAGAATGTGACGGCAGATGAGAACCATTCGGCCCATCTAGTCTGCCCAATTTTCTAAATACTTTCATTAGTCCCTAGCCTTATCTTATAGTTAGGATAGCCTTATGCCTATCCCACGCATGCTTAAACTCCTTTACTGTGTTAACCTCTACCACTTCAGCTGGAAGGCTATTCCATGCATCCACTACCCTCTCAGTAAAGGAATACTTCCTGATATTATTTTTAAACCTTTGTCCCTCTAATTTAAGACTATGTCCTCTTGTTGTGGTAGTTTTTCTTATTTTAAATATAGTCTCCTCCCTTACTGTGTTGAACAACCCCATATGCAGCACACTGTGATGTATTGTGTGTTCTTAACCTTTCTATTATTACCAGTATTATGTTTTTTTACCAGAAAAAAAATATTCTGTGTGATTAGACCAGATGGGCTAGCCTTCACTCCCCATGTGCATCAATGAGTCTAGAGCGCCCATGACACTGCACCACTTTATTTACCATTAATACTAACCATTGCACACACCCCACAAGACTTGCGGTTTTGGAGATGATCTGACCTTGTCGTCTAGCCATCACTATTTGGCCCTTATCAAAGCCACTCAGATCTTTTCGCTTGCTCATTTTTACTGCTTCAAATATATGAAATGTTTTCATACATAAATATATTTGAGAGTCCATGCCAATTCCCCTGTTTTGCACCCCTCCGTTACAGGTGCCTTATTTCACGGCCCTATTTAACCTCATAATAGCATGCATTAGGTAACTATGATATGACCTGCCCAGAATGGGTTTAGCCCATTCTGGGCAGGTCATATCATAGTTACCTAATGTTGTTGCAGGTTTATGCAGGTTTATACTGTAACTAACCCTCCATCCATGTTTTTAAAAAGGAAGCCTATTATTATGTGAGCTTTGAAATTGCTGTTAAGTGAACGAGTGAGTGCGCTGGATCTATGTAGTGTGTATATATATATGTTAAATGGATCCCTGGAAGAAGTGGACCTAGCATTAGGCAAAACTCATGACTAATAAAGGCCTTGCCTCCGTTAAAGAGGCAGAGAGGTTGCACTAACCTGATGTACAGACAGGCAAACTGAGGACAGCCCGCTACAGTCCTCCTAAAGCCTTAGCTGACAACCCTTTTTCACCAAATCTAAGCAAAGAAGGACCGCATGTGCTGGTATGTACACCTACACCAGCTTCCTCTTGGCAGTTGCAGTACTAGACCACCAGCTAAGTTCTCTGACACTGTTGATTCTTCAAAGTCTTTAATCCCTCGGTCACTGTGACATTGTCCTCTCATGGTTCTCCTCCTATATCTCCAAATACTCAGTGTCTCCTCTAATAACACTACCGCCCCCGTCCTCTCTCGGTTACAGCATATGAAGATGGTTTGACTTCACACCATGAGATGGAGCCATGGAACTCCTGGATTCATAATTACTACACCAGTATGTAGTAATTATAGTGCCTACCCTGACCCTAAATGTTATACATTTTTTCATTTTATTTAAAGCATGACTCTGCATTGTGAAAGTAGGGCAGATGCCAGTCCCAGTTATTGCTTTGGCAGCTGCCCAACTTGCAGTCTGGCATATCGCTTGTTTAAAATAATCAGATCAACAGCATTTCAGTAAAGTGTCTATATTTTACGAGTTGAAATGGTCCTAAAATGGTAAGCCAGTTGCAGGTAGCATCTGTTGTGGTGTCTTACGGTCAGAAGTGGAATTCATGACAAATCAAGAAAAATGACAGGAAACCAAATACTGAACAGACACAGGCTGTTTGTGGGAGGAAGCAATAAACCAATTTATTAAATATGGCCCATGGCATCCTGATAACTCACCGCAGGTCAGCGCGAACGAAGGGGAAATACTAAATTACCACTTACAGTTCCTGTAATTCAGACAGGTGACAGTCGCAGGATCAGAGGAACTTATTACATCACTTTATACAAAATATCAGAATACACCGGTCACATCAACATGCTGTTTCAATGGATCATATCACCATTCAGAGACTCCACCAGGCTCGATTTACAGTGCTACGAGTCTGCTCTTCATATTCTACCTTAATTATCATACAATCTGTTCCACGTAGCTGTACTGTTGGCTGTTTGTCTTCATCAGAAAGAGAAAACAAAATTAACAAAAAAAGAACAGTGCTTGTTATTCAGTGATCCCCTTACATCCCTATTTCCTTGGCTACATTTCTATTAGGACCACTCTAGGCACCCAGACCATTTCAGCTTTATGAAGTGGTCTGGGTGCCAGGTACCTCTAGGATTAACCCTTTTTTTTTATAAACATAGCAGTTTCAGAGAAACTGCTATGTTTATACTGAGGGTTAATCCAGCCTCCAGAGCCTCTAGTGGCTGTCTCATTGACAGCCGCTAGAGGCGCTTGCGTGCTTCTCACTGTGGAAATCACAGTGAGAGCATGCAAGCGTCCATAGGAAAGCATTGTAAATGCTTTCCTATGCGACCGGCTGAATGCGCGCGCGGCTCCTGCCGCGCATGCGCATTCAGCCGATGACGTTGCGAGCAAGGAGGAGAGGAGGAGTACAGCTCCCCGCCCGGCGCTGGAGAAAGGTAAGTGTTTAACCCCTTCCTCTCTCCAGAGCCGGGCGGGAGGGGATCCCTGAGGGTGGGGGCACCCTCAGGGCACTATAGTGCCAGGAAAACGAGTATGTTTTCCTGGCACTATAGTGGTCCTTTAAGATCCATTTAGAGTCAATCTAGTACTTTTAGAGTTATCAATTAAAGGGGGAATTCAATGTGAGTTCAAAACAAATTTCTTAACTTTAAGGCCAGAGCGGCTGAGCTGAAAGAATATCGGATTTAGAGTTTTTCCAGTTTGACTATTACGGCCTTAAATTTGAAATTCGATTTGATCTCCCACTTTAGTAAATAACACTGTTTGCAATTAGGCTCTGAAGGCTCGTGGTTGGGTGGTTTGGTAACCTACTGCGGTATTCACGGATCTTAACCAAACTCTACTACTTCAATCCATTGTTCATGTTTCCTGCCTTCGCCTCTCTTCCACCAGAGAGGATCATCTCACTTATACTTTGAAATAATCTGGTAAATTATTATTGACACTTCAATTGTTTCTATTGCTTTATTATACACTGTATTTCAAGGTTCATTACTCTATGTGGTATTAGCTTGACAAGACCTCAGTGGATGTCGAAACATTGCTGTGATTGTCCAATAAGGTGCTCTCTATTTAAACACAGTGGGTGCCTTGGTATTATATCAGTTATACTTTGGACACATATATTTGTCGCCAAGCATGCTCTATGGGGAACACAATATGACTTAGCAGTCTCTCTCTCTCTCTCTCTATATATATATAACATTTTTAATTCGATATAACATTATACTTATCTATCCTCCATATTCTGGCTATAACATACAGACACACATTTTACACGTTCTACTATAGACATTTAAACAATATGCAAAGGTTTTGTGACCCTTCCTGACCACCATCCCACGTCAGCAGGCACTGGTGAGGTCATACTCACCACTGACCAATCAAGATTAAGAGCGCCATATTTAAATCCTAACCCACAGGAATTCAGTTCCCCTTTGAAATGCCGCCTTACCTGCGAAACGCGTGCCAGGGTTTTGAGATCGCAACTTGATACCCCGGCCTTAGCCTCCTGGTCCTCCTTCTGATTAACCTGACACTTTGGGACCCTTTTATCACAATATTAAGGGCTGTCTTAGGTTGGGGGATTCCTGCCGCTTTGCAAATCACGGCAAGCGCTGATATAGTGTATCTAGACTATAAATCAAAGTAGTTACTAAACTTACCCTTGCAGGGTTTTTTAGTCTGTTTACCTATTAGGCAGGTGCCCCCGAAGGCACAGACATACCGATAGGAACTTGGAGACCACTTATCAAACACTTCAGCTCTGCTACTATTGGAATCAGACGGTGTTATATGCCTGGCAAGAAATCTAGCAGGCAAACCACAATTACACCGCTAAGCAGTTTTTTCATGTGTACATAATTCTCTACTTTACTTTACTAATTTGGCTTAAAGATTTAGTTAGTGTAATAATGTTTTGCCTATGTGACAGGTGCCCTTGAAGGCACAGATATATATATATATATACACATCCACAGGACATATAGAATTTCTTACCACTTTCCGTGCATTCTAACTAATTAATATTCTGTGTTGGACTAAAACCTTCCAGCCAATTAAAATCTGTTTCATATATACGTGCTACCCACAGGCCCCGGGATGCAGGGGGCGGTGTTATAAACCTCCCAGGTGCAATGCATCCTGGGGAAACATGCTTTGTATTGCGAAAAAATTTGTAAACCGAGGCATTACTTTCAATGGATTTTCATTTGTAAACCGAAAATTATGTTAACCGAGGCGTTTGTAAACCGAGGTCCCACTGTATACATATATACACATCCACAGGACGTTTAGAATTTACAACCACTTTGTGTGTATTCTAATATTCTGTGTTTTGACTAAAATCTTGTAGCCAATTCTGTTAGTACAGATAAGCAGATCTTGTTTATATATATCTTTTTGCTTTATTTCGATCTGTGCCTTCTTGCAGCACCAACAGACTTCCTAGCTTTGCCGATCAACCTGGCAGACAGGCAGACATAGCCCTCTGTTTAGCTCTATCCATATCTGACAGGCATGTACAAGCACGTATTGTTGAATCCCTAGGGGACGAAGAATATCTGATTTTTTGGCAACATATATGAAAGTTGTCACAACATTTTATAGCTACTTTTTTGCTTCACTTTCCAGCGAACTGTTGAGTTCTATTTCTCAGCATATGTTTATAGCTAGACAGACACCCTTGATTCTCTCAGTTTGTCTGTTATGACATTCCTATTAATGTCAATTAGTTTACTAACTTTTATTTCACTTATTTTTTTCTCCTTAAATCCCTCCATGTACATACAGGTGTTCTAAGAATAATTTTTTTCTTCACATATTTATTATTGTATTCTCATGATTAAAAGTTATGTTTTAATTATTTCTACTTAGGACAGTTTCTCTCCTTTCTTGTTTCTAATTCCTAACCAGGGTTAACTCCTTCACTGCCCTATTGATTTACTCAACATTAGGCTTTCACTCCATTTAATTTTCTAAATTTTACACATAATCAATGCACGTTGTGGTCACACTAAGTAAATATTTATCACTCGGCTGTTTGAGTGTTATTTAGCAACCGACAGTAGGAAGAATGGCGTTACACGTCATCACGTCAAGGAGGGGAGGGAGGGGCACGTGTCCCGCATGAACACTTCTGGGTTCGGGTACACGGAGGAGCATCACTTGGATTGGTAAGTCACTTTATTTCACCATTTATAAATATTGATTGTATGTTCACTTCACTTATTGATCTTGAGAAAGACCTGCATAGGGGTTGAAACGTCGATCGGGACAATGTGTATTTGTTTGCTAATACGCAATAAAAAAGTTTATTCACCAAAAATCCTTTGAGTGCACCCACTTTATTTTGGAATAATGTTTATACACATACAATTTTTTCTTCTCAACAGTCAAGTGGCTATACATCACTATACTACAACCTTAAACGGACACTCTAGGCTCCATAACCACTACATTGTGCTGTAGTGGTTGTGGTACCAGGAGACCTGGATGTGTCCACCAGTAACCTCTCAAACCATTTACAAACATTTTGACATTTATATTGCTCCATAGGGCACCACAGTCCTTCAAGTCTCAGTTTGTATGAAAAAACAAAAACTCATACTTCAACATACCAAGCCTTTCATACGTTACAATAAGGTGCAAATATAAAAGTCCTCTCTATCATACAAACTCAGACGGGACCGTGGGTGCTTAACAAAACAACAGGAGTGTCAAACCACTTGTAAATTGACTGACAGGTTACCAATGGACAAAGTCCAGGGAATCCTGGCAATAGCAATCTGTAGTAGTCATGGTGCCAAGATTGTCCCTTTAAAGTTCTGTAAGTCTTGGCTGTCTCAGACTAAACAACTCACAAACAGTCAAAGATATTTGCGGTTGCTCAGCTTAGTATATCTTGTTTATTGCAGGTGCTCAGCTTAGTATATCTTGTTTATTGCAGGTGCTCAGCTTAGTATCTTGTGTTTATTAAGGATGCTCAGCTTAGTATATCTTGTTTATTATGGGTGCACAGTTTAGTATATCTTGTTTATTGCGGTTGCTCAGCTTAGTATATCTTGTTTATTGCAGGTGCTCAGCTTAGTATCTTGTGTTTATTAAGGATGCTCAGCTTAGTATATCTTGTTTATTGCGGGTGCACAGTTTAGTATATCTTGTTTATTGCGGTTGCTCAGCTTAGTATATCTTGTTTATTGCAGGTGCTCAGCTTAGTATATCTTGTTTATTGCAGGTGCTCAGCTTAGTATCTTGTGTTTATTAAGGATGCTCAGCTTAGTATATCTTGTTTATTATGGGTGCACAGTTTAGTATATCTTGTTTATTGCGGTTGCTCAGCTTAGTATATCTTGTTTATTGCGGGTGCTCAGCTTAGTATATCTTGTTTATTGCAGGTGCTCAGCTTAGTATCTTGTGTTTATTAAGGATGCTCAGCTTAGTATATCTTGTTTATTATAGGTGCACAGTTTAGTATATCTTGACTATTGCGAGTACACAGCTTAGTACATCTTGTTTATTGTGGGTGCTCAGCTTAGTGTATCTTGTTTATTGCGGGTGCACAGCATAGTATACCTTATTTATTGCAGGTGTTCAGCTTAGTATATCCTGCTGATTGCAGGTACTTAACTTAGTATATCTCGACTATTGCAGGTGCTCAGCTTAGTAGATCTCGACTATTGCAGTTGCTCAGCTTAGTATATCGTATTTATTGCGGCTACTCAACTTCGTATATCTTGATTATTGCGGGTGCACATCTTAGTAGATCTTATTTATTGCGGCTACTCAACTTAGTATATTTTGATTATTGCGGGTGCTAGATGATCTTATTTATTGCGGCTACTTAACTTAGTATATCTTGTTTAATGTAGGTGCTCAGTTTAGTATATATTGTTTATTGTTGGTGCACAGCTTATATTATCTTATTTACTGCGGGTACTAAACTTAGTATATCTTGATTATTGTGGGTGCTCAGCTTAGCCAATCCTGATTATTGCAGGTGCTCAGCTTAGTATATCTTGTTTATTGCAGATGCTCAGCTTAATATATCTTTATTGTGGGTGCTCAGTTGTTTATATTTTGTTTATTGTGGGTGTTCACATTAGTATATCTTGCCAATTGCAGTTGCACAGCCTAGCAGATCTTGTTTATTGCAGGTGCACAGCTTAGTATATCTTGTTTATTGCATGTGCACAGCTTAGTAGATCTTGTTTATTGTTGGTGCTCAGCTTAGCTTATCTTGTTTATTGCAAGTGTTCAGCTCAGTATATCTGGTTTATTGCGGGTGATGAGCCAAGTAGATTTTGTTTATTGCGGATGCACAGCATAGTATATCTTGTTTATTGCGGATGCACAGCTTAGTATATCTTGTTTATTGCGGGTGCACAGCGTAGAAGATCTTGTTTATTGTGGGTGCTCAGCTTATACTTCTTTCATTGAATAGTCTGATTAATTTCTTATCTCCTAGTTTGCTAGACCTTGCAGGAGCCTCCTGTGTGTGTGATTAAAGGGACACTATAGTCACCTGAACAACTACAGCTTATTGTATTTGTTCAGGTGAGATCTATAGCTCCCCGCAGGCAATCTAATGTAAACACTGTATTTTCAGAGAAAATACAGTGTTTACATTGATTGATAGGAAGTCCCTCTGGTGGCCGTCTGAGTGACGGCCACTGGAGGTATTCCTATCATGTAGGAACCTAAAAAGGCCTTGTTACATGTCAGACGTATTAAAATACGTCTGACGTGTGCAGGAGAGAGAAGGCACTGTGTGCGCGCCTTCTCTCTCCTGCCTGTCAGCAGAGGAGAGGGGACGGGCAAAGACCGCAAGCTGAGCTGTCAGTCAGCTCAGCTCGCAGCCGCGCACACCACGCGCATGCACGGGAGTGCGCTCAGGACTTCATAAGGCGGCATGCGTACTAAGGCGGCATGCGCACAAGGGAGCAGTGACGCTTCCAAATGGATCGCTTCCTGCTCGCATATTTCGTCATTTTGACGAAATAGGGGGCGCGGCTTCACGAGGCTCCTGGCGCTGGAACCAGGTTAGTAAAATAGTCTGCCTGGAGAGTCCCTTTAAAGTTCAATTTACAGAACAGAAGATAAAAAATTAACATATGATTGAAAATGAAACCATGGTTTTCATGTAGGCTGTGAGAGTCATAGCCAGGGAAGTCGTGACTAGGTGATGACTAGTGATGTAACTAAATGGCAGAGAATTGAGCAATTATACTACAGAGGCATGGTCTATATATAAAAACTGTTTCATTAAAGGAACACTATAGTCACCAAAACAACTTTAGCTTAATAATGCAGTTTTGGTGCATATACCATGCCCCTGCAGTCTCATGCCATTTGGGAGTTATATCACTTTGTTTATACAGTCCTAGTTACACAGCCTTCCTAAACCCTTCCTGTAAATAGTCATCTAATGGTTACATTTCCTTTATTGTCCATTCTGTTTAATTTAGAATATATCCTGTTCTGATAATACCTTGCTAGACACTGCAGGATGATTAAACCTTTTAAAGTAATTGAAAAATAAACCATTTTGTCATCATGCAGGCTGTGTCAATGTGGCTAGGGCTGCATAAACAGAAACAAAAGTGATTCAACCCATAAATGTCAGATAATTGAGCAGTGAAACTTCAGAGGTATGATCCAGTGTAGCGTACATACCGAGGTCGCGGCTGCGACCTGGCCCGGGCCCTGCAACCTGGTATGTATGCCACTGTGGCCAGCCTCTTCTCTTGGGGGGCCCATGGCCCCCCGAGGCTGGCCCTGGTATCACCGGGCGGGCAGGCAGGCAGGCAGGCGGGCACGCAAGGGAGCACTCTTCCTTGAGTGCTCCCTCTTGCACCACACTGATACCAGAGCCGGAAGATGACGTCATCTTACGGCTCCGGCATCAGTACGAGGCGCACGAAGGAGCTGAACAGAGAGCACTCAGGGGAGAGTGCTCCCTCGCGCGCCCGCCAGCCTGCCCATCGGGTGACACCACTGGACCCCAGTGAATCCCCTCAGCACTCCCACAGGTAAGGAGGCTGGGGGGATAAAAAAAAAATTTAAAACGTGAGTGTGTGTGTTAGTGTTAGAGTGTGTGTGTGTTAGTGTTAGAGTGTGTGTGTGTGTGTGTGTGTGTTACTGTTAGCGTGTGTGTTAGGAGCAGTTTTCGCACCAGGGCCCCATGGGTTGTGTGTACGCCACTGGTATGATCTATACACAAAAACTACTTAATAAAGCTAAAGTTGTTTTGTTGACTATAATGCCCCTTTAATAACTGCAATTTTCCATTCCTGTTCATTAACCATGGCAGTATTGTGTACCCATCCTACTTCTATAAGATTTCTGAAGATAATTACGAAGACTGCTTGGTGGGGAGGGGGTGGATCTATTTATACCAATTTCAGAATTCCATTTCCTGTCCTTTCTGATGTGTGGGTGGGACTAATAAGTTAATGCTGCCACGTATGATGATCAGGAAAATAAAATTTATGGTAAGTATGAAACATTTTTCCCTAAATTCTATATAGGTCAGTACAAAAATCAGCAGATACATTGTACATCTCTTTAGGTTTGTGTTTGACACATAGCCCTTTGCGTATTTTGTCGATTGCTGGAAGAAATGTTTATGCACACACAAATATTCTGAATGACCTATACGTATGCAAGACGATGCAAGTGATGTATTTTATTCTGACTTTAAACATAGTTAAAAATGGATTTACATGATTATCAGAGAATATTAAAAAAAACAAATGCACATTATATACAGGCGTTCGGTTTAGAGTACACACATTTGGGTCTATTACATCTCTTTCTAAATGTTTGTTTCTTTTTTTTTTTTCATCACAGGTAGTAAAATAGTCTGTCTTACAAGAAAACACAATCTTCTGTTTAAACGAGACCACAAGGAGCAGTACATTAAAAGCAAAAATAAATAACTTCCTCTGTGTACTGACTTCCATGTACAAATGAATTATTCGTTGTCAAGTTGTTTTGCTCAGAGCAAGCCCAAACTACACATCAGAATCAATATAATACAGGACAATAAAAAAATATTGAAAACTATATGTGAAGACGGCAGAAAAAAGAAAGGTCACGTGCAGCCTGTCTACAGATGACTCTTGCAAGGACTTGAGAACAAAGGTAGCAGTGATCACTTCCTGCATCATCACCTACTCCCAGTTTTTTAGTAAATATCACTGCTTATAAAAGATTTTATGCAGTTGCTAATATACTTGAGGTTCAGTCGACAGACCCTTCACACATCTCTGGAATAGTTTTCTGGTTACGTGTTTATGGTATGCTCTGAATAAATGACCTTGCCGTTCCATACGAGAGACAGTTTGCATAACGGATTTTAAGGATAATGAAGAATTCCTGTGGTAAAAAGATCACTCAATATAAAAAAAATATAAAAAATGTAAAACCATTTTTCTGAATATTATGAAAGGAAAAGTTCTGTATTAATTGCACCACCTAGTGGTGTTTGTTTTTGTTTCAAACTTTTTTTATTGTCTTGAATAAATCTGCTAGATTCAGCATAATATAGACAAGTTATTTTGTAAAGTACAAGTTGAAACTTATTTACTGTGCCTCTTGCTTGACATTTTTGCTTGAAAGACGTACAAAAAGAAAATGAAATAATACAACAAATAAAAACGTAACTTAAAATAAACTAAACATGCTCTCCTGTAAGTAGTCTCAATATATAAGCTTGAGGTTAGCTCAATATCGGGGACAACTAGCTTGAGGTGTCTCGTTTTGGCAAGTTGCCATTGGTCTAGGGGGCGGGTGGCTCGCTATAACTCTGGTCGAGTACCAGTCTGTAAGCTCCAAAGAAGATTTAATTTTGGATTGGGATGTTCTGTCTCGTGTGTTGAAACATGGTTGCCAGGTAAGAAAGAATTTCTTTGTTAAGGCGATTTAATTAACAAGATTTCTACCCAGTCCATATGAAATAGGAAAGATATTTTCGTGTAAAGTAATGCTATTGGGGGGACAGGGATCTATCAAATGATGCAGTATACTTTTACGTGCCATTTTGTAACAATGATTTGAGTATTCCGTCATCACCCCCAATAATACAAGTAATTTCATTATATAATTTTCTACCTGTTTCCAGAAAGCCTCGATTTCGGCACATCTCCAGAAGCAATGGTGGAGGGCTGTTCTGTTTGTACATCATTTTAGACAATTTCGCGGAGTCACTGAGTTTTAGGGGAAATTATTTTTGAGGAGAGTAACAGACGTGATGCACGATTTTCCAATGCATTTCTTGATAGGTAGCTGTTGGGAGTAGTTTATCCCCTTAAGGAAAACTTCTGGAATAAAAGGGAATCATGACGGAATATTGTCCTTAAGGGGTTTAGCAGTTTGACGGTTGTTGTTGTTGTGAGAGCTTCATGAGCCAGTGTTGTCAAATGTTGAAATGTGGAATGGAACATCACGGTCAAGAAATTTGTGTTTAATTTGTTGGAGTGTGAGAGGCTTTCGTCCAAAAAAAAAGCTATGTGTATTGGGCATTTTCATCCTTAAAATACAGCCTGCATAAGAATGGAAAACATTTGGTGTATTGCCATTGGAACCCCAAGAGTTGTCTCACCAATTTCCAGATTTTAATAGTGAACGCGAAGAGAGGATTTTCCCTTGCTTCCTATGGGAGGAAAGGCTATGAGGTGTGTAGTAGTCTGGAAAGTGATATACTAGCGCAGTTTTTTTTTTTCTAAGTGTACTGCAGTAAATTGTCCGGTTTCTTTTATCCAGTCCAGCGTGTGTCGATAGTGTGCTGCTTAGGTTTATAAATCTGGATTTATACATTGCTATTCATGGACGATTTTGTTTCCAGAGAAATTTATAGAAAATCAGATTTAAAGCTTTTTTTTGTTTTTTTTCCATCTGATCTTACCCATTGGTAAGGCTTATAGTGGATATAGAAGTTTTGATATTATAACCGATCTTAGTACGGTAGCTCACCCCGAGGGAGTCAAGGGGAAGCGTTCCCATCTACAGAGGATGTATTGTACATTGTACATCAGCCAAAATTGGTCCCATGTTAGTTTTATATATAGCAGACATTTACTTTGTTATTAGCACCCCATCTATTTAAAATTTGAGGCTGCCCATGCTAGAGTTGCCTGTGTCTGTAAACGTATCGGCGGACCTGAGCCTAATCTCAGAGTTGTTGACTTGGACCAATTACTTTGAAAGCTTGTTATTGTGCCATATCTTTCAAAAAAGGCAATTGTATTTGTGATACACATAGAATGTGACGGCAGATAAGAACCATTCGGCCCATCTAGTCTGCCCAATTTTCTAAATACTTTCATTAGTCCCTTATCTTATAGTTAGGATAGCCTTATGCCTATCCCACGCATGCTTAAACTCCTTTACTGTGTTAACCACTACTGCTTCAGCTGGAAGGCTATTCCATGTGTCCACTACCCTCTCAGTAAAGTAATACTTTCTGAAATTATTTTAAATTATATTGCAGGATCCAAAGAGGTAAAGTAACATTGTCTGCAAAACCCCAAAATTCAATTGTGTGTGGGCCTAGCTGTATTCCCTCTATGTCTTCAAAAGAATAGATAAATCTAATGAGTGGGTCTAAAGAAATAAAAGAATAGGTAATCACCCCTCTCGTAATCATGATTATTATGATCGTTGAGTGTATAGGCCACGATACTTGATCAAAGGCCTCTGAGCATCTAAGCTCAGTAGGAGAAATTGGTTTCTGTTGGAGTGTTGGTTGTACGTCCTCCTGAGACCCAGACCATTCGTGTCCTCTGTACTGGACATTTTGCATCTCTTTTTATCCTTTTGAGCTACTCTATCAATCCCTGCTGTATTGTAAAGAGGGCATCTTGCGCTTTCCAGTGATATGTCATGTGATAGGCTGTGGTGCTGGGAACTTCCTCTTCCTTTTCATAAAAAATGGAAAGAAATTGGAAGACAATTTTTTTCCCCTCGGTTTCCAGGAGAATATGGAGGCCATTCTGGTTCCTTGGATGGACTGTCTGCCTTTAGTAAATCCCTTTTGCTGGGCATGTAAAATGGAGGGTAAAAACAGTTTGAGGCTGTTGGACCATATTTTAGTAGGAAGTTTGAAGTCATTATTTAGTCGCATGGTCGGTCTACAATAAATTTATACTGCAGAGTCCGTGCCTGGTTTTGAGATTAGAAATATTCTAGAGGCTGTAATGGGTTAAACCGGTGCTTTATTTATGTATATCGATCGTATTGAACAAGGAAGTTAAGAGTGCTGGTAATTTGGTCTTTTCCATTTATATTGCCCGTGCTATCTCCTCTTCCCTAATAGGGTTTGCTCCCTTTAAAAGGTTAATTTCTCTCACGGGGTCACCAGGCTGCGAGGCAAAGCGGTTTGAAAAATGGGCGTATAAGGTTTTGTTTTTTTATCCCCACTGGATCTGTGGTGTAGGTTGCGTCACTTTTTATTATTTGCATAATTAGCTTTCCCTTTCATCTAACCCAATGAAAAAATTGTATTTAAGGAATTCTAGTTTTATTTGATTTTTACAATAAGAAGACATCTAAAAGTTGTTTTGCCTCCACAAAAGCATCTTTTTATTATTGCATCAGTTGGTGTGGCTGTGGCAAATCTATATCAAGTTTGTTATATTTCTAATATTTGGCCTTGGAAGTCTGTCAGAATAACATTGTGTTATCTATATGGTCCAAGTTGTCGTCTGTAAAATTGGCCATGCTCCGACCAACATGTTTTTGAATGAGTCATTGTGGGGTGAACAGGAGGGGTGGACCTATGTTAAAAGTCATTGGACCGCGGTCCGATATTCGAATGTTGTCTATGTCAGCTTGTGTACCAGCTCAGGGGAGACTAAAAATTGATGCTGGATGAGGTGTTATGAGCCTTAGATGTGCGTGTGTAATTCTAGACCTTGATGTTTCATATCCTCCATCTGTCTATAAGATAAGAGGCTTCTTTGAAAATGAATACTTCCCTGATCGTCCTCGTAGTGGGACGACAGAACAGAGCATATGGGGCATCACCAGATGGATGGTATGACCCAAGAGACACCAGGACCTGTGGGTGGGAGAGCTTTAGGGTTCAGACATCGGATAACTCAGGTGAAGTCAAGGGCATTAATCAGTAGCAGGAAAGCCAAGGAAGCAGCAGCAGGAAAGCCAAGTAGGTTGATTGCCGTATGTAAATTAAAATTTTGCATGAATTTGAAGTTGGAATTTTATTTTCTTCTTAACAAGGGATTTACATATGGGAGAGAACGTTCACCTTTTAGCTGTTAATTTCATGGAATAGTTTTGGAAGTTAAGCATTGTGTTCTTGGTTACCAATTTCATTGCATTTCTGTATGCTTATCGTATGGTTTCTTTGTCAAAGAAATGAACATTACTGGTCTTGGTCTAGTTGTTGTTTGAGCTCAACGAAGAAATGTCAGTTCTTTCAGGACATAATCTGGGTGGACTAACAAACACGCAATTGTAATCAGATGATTTGGATGCACAGGAACAGAAAGGTTGAGGTACCTGCTTACTGAGCTTACATGTGGGGCAAAGTGACACGAAAGGTAATGGTAGAATAGTATTCACTGAAGACTGTTTTATAATGACAGTTGCAGGAGAGGAATCAGGGTTGCATGGGGAGGGAGCTATTAACAGTTTAAATGATGTGCTTCCACGGGAAAGCGGCAGCCCTAGAGAAGTCTTGAAGGTGAGAGTACGAACAGAGGATAGATGTAGATCTTTGGCAGAGTGTAAGGTTCTAGACGGGACATACTTGTGTGTAAGGGAGGATAGATAGGTTGGAGCAGCATTATGTCGAGATTTGTAAGCAAGAACCAGAATTTTAAATTGAGTCCTATACCGTAAGGGCAGCCAATGCAGAGCAGATTGTTGTTGGGAGATGAGCTGTCGTTTAGTTGAGGAGTCTTTTAGATCACTGTATGTTTTCAAGGCTATCAAGTCTGGAGGTGTTAGACAAGATTGTCAAAAGTGCGGAGTATTGAGTCGATTTTCACTTCCAATTTAGAGATAAACAGTGATATCGTCAGCTAGTTGAACATTCCGGTGTGAACGAGGCTAGTGGTGTTGATGAGATTTCTTCTGTGCATATGTCTGGTGTTTTCCAGAAAGTGTTAGACTGTTTTGGATGTGATTAGGTGTTAATTTTCCCAAATTCTATTAATTTCGCCATTGTTGAGGAAAGAGAAGAGTATAGGGATAGGCAATTCCTTTAAAGTCCCATTATCCCATACAAAACCAGCCGACTTTAAATCATATCATTAGAGGTCCCTTTAGTGAGTGTGCATAAAACTTGAAAAATGTGAGCCCACAGATGTTATCAAATGGAGTTAGATTAGGTTGATAGGGAAATAAAATCATGAGTCAGGGCCCAGAGGAGCAAGTAGGATTAGTAAGTGATGGCATGGTTAAATAAAATAAATTAACCGAGGTATGTACAGATCAAATTAAATGGGTCCAGGTAGGAGTTCTTCTCTAAGTTTGTGCTTTCAGGTCACTATGCTAAGTTGTAGAAAATGCAGGGACGAAGGCTGGCGTGGTGAGTGGCTTGCGTCTGCAGCAATAGGTGGGGAGATAAGGCCTACCTTCTGCCAACAGTGAATTGATCTAGATATTGTGTGGGGGTGTTGTGTTCTGCACTAGACTGGGCACCTGGAAGCGCATTATATTTTATGCTTCAGGCCCTACCGAATTCTGCACTGAGAGGCCAAGATGGCACCAGGCCTGCTCGAAGCTGTCCCAGTCCTGGACCTCTGGGGGATTCTCATTGACCTCTTTTGCAGCAAAGGTGGCTGCGGTAAAGTCAGAAGGTGACCTTTTAAAATGGAGCTCAGTGTGGAACTTTCCATCATGCAAACGCTTCCCTTGGCCCCTCCCCTGAAAGTCCCCACCTAGTGGTTTTAATGGGTGTTATATCACTTGAAAGGAAATTGCAATGTAAGAAATGAGATAAGAGTATATTATATTATATGTGATTAATACAAGAAGCAACATTTGTGGAACGTGTTACTTTTTATTTGGGAGAGAGAAACAGGGGGAAAAAAAACAATATATGCAAATAGTCAATTATTAGAACATTAAAAAAACAAAAAAAAACAAAAAAAAGGTTTGTCTCTGTTCAAAGCACCAACAAAAGGACACAGTCTTTCTAAAATATGTTTCACTGGTGGGTTGAACTGTTTAAACAAGCATAAGGCTAATTAATAGGATCTTAAAGGAACACTCCGCAAGATTTTACTTTTTTTTATATAACTTCACTATTTAGTAAATATATCCCGAAAGAAAACACACAAGCATTTTTTTGCTGCATGTTTTTATTGGGGTACATCTAAAAATAGGATTGCAAGAGCTGCAGATCTTCTGCCTGTGGCTTTTACCCCCCCGGCACAGACTTTCAGTTTGTGCATGGTGAGATGACCAGTCAAAATCTTCTCTTTAAGAAGCCTCCAATTCTCAGTAATGTGCGCATTTTCAGTGAAGGGGGTAGAATAGTGTATGAAAGGGGCCCGGGAGGACCAGGATCCGAGTAGGAAAAATGCACCTGGATCACAAAAGAGCAGATTGTAAGCTCACAGACTCACTTTGGGGAGGAAGGGGGTGGGGGGACGACATGGAGCATTGGCAGGCACAAAAGCGCATCTCCCTGGCATTTCTTCATTGATCTTTAAAACGACTTATTTAAATAGGAACTTTTAAAGTGCAGTTAAGGTGGGATACTCCTCACACAAAGCACTTTGTGTGTGTTAAGTGGTCCTTCAAGAGTGCGCATCTGCAATCTGTTTGTATAAGCTGAACGGCTACAGAAATAATGCCAAAGTCATACAGAGAGTTGAGGGGACATTAAGGTAATTTCGATAATATATCAAAACAAAACATGACTTTTTTTTTAATTTTTTTGCTGAAAAATGAAAACTATTTTCAAATGCATTTTCATTTGTGTTATTACACTTGCCAGTACTGTACATTATCGGGTCAAAAAAGACAAGTACTATTTAGATAGTATTTGTGGTACCAAGTTTACATGGGCAGAACTACTCCGTGTTACAATATACCAGTCTTCGCCCAATATGAGGGTCATTGGTTGCCGTTAAGAACAGTGACAAAGCAGGCAGACCTCACCATACATATGGTATATGGTGTATGGATGGATTCGCCATGAAAAATACATGTTGCAAACATGACCACAAGTGTCTATTGCTCATATACAGGCTGCTGAGGGTCTTACATCACACATTGGCTTATATCAAGGGGTAAACTAATCCTATGCTTTTCATTGAACAGAGAACTGGTAAAAAAAAAAAAATATATCAATTATATTTTTAATTCAAATGAAAAAAAAAAAAAAAAAGATCCACTATATCCTATAGAGCGATTCCTATTGTATTTTTCTTTTAAAAATAGACAGTTCAAATTAACTTTTTTTAAGGAAGTCACACCAGAACATTGCAGCTACCAATAAATGTAGGTGTTCAGTAAAACATACCAATTATACAACATTTCCTGGAACCAGACTTATCGGCAGTGCCACACGTTACACCAAAGTGCTATGTCCTGTTTCAGAACATATTAAGTTTGTCAAAAGACTTGTGAAATACACAAAATGTTACACGCACAGCCCAGAATATGGGTACAAAAAAACAACTACAACTGCACAAAGCTGTAGCATCACTGTACAAAGTATTTACAAATAAAGCTTAGTGATTTGTCATGAAAACATTATTTCGAATATCTGTACAAAACAGTTGTAAAAACGGCAGCTATATACAAACAAGCAAGTTAAAAAAAGGCATTAAATATTCCTCCTTCAGGAAAAAAAAAAAAAAAAAAATTCATAACCAAAACATTTTTTTTTGTTATTTTTTTTGTTTGCCCCCCCCCATCAACTTTAGGGATGAAGAAATGTTAATGCTGTATTTGAAATGCGATGTTAAGGACTGACGTTACCTACAGACATTTTCTTTTTTGGACTCTGGTACCAAGGGACTCATGGCAGCATAACTATTTCAATAAGATTAAAATGGTTATGGTGCTTAAAGTGAGTAAGCATTCACACAAAGGAGTAGAAGTAGTGAAAAAATAAAAAATATTTTGAAAAAATTGTTTAGCTCTTTCAGCCTAGATCTTTAACTTGAACATTTCATTCATTAAACGTCAAATGGGAACGTATGGTTTTTTTTTTGTTTTGTTTGTTTTTTGACAAACAATATCAAGGTATTTTATTTTCATTCATTTGCAAAGAAAGAGGGAGAAAAAAACTACTTAATTTTTTTTATTTTTGTCTTTGGAATGTGCAGAGCGGCAAAAAAACAAGAAATCTTGGGGATGAAGAGTCAATATGCCCAAGAACAGGCTTGGCATTGTCACAATGTGCTGCCAGTCATGGACTACATTTGCCAGCATGCTTAGCCTGGCCCCAGAACCAGCAGCTGAAAGGCCAAACATCCCCTGCCCCAGGGAAAGACCTAACTAACTGATGGAAGGTGCTGTGGCATGGCTGGTAAAAAAAATAAAATAAAATTATAGGAATTGGAGGGTCTTCCAAAACTGCTGGATAAAATACAAAACAAGTGGTTACGAAAATTGACACTTTCAATATTGAACTCTATTAGGTCAGGAAATCACATAAAATGATTGATTGTTGGCTCCCATGGAAATCGGTCAATGGTCGTATTGTGTTTTCGAACATATTACTTTTCATTAGAAGATCCACACTGTGGAGCAACACAAACCAGGGAAATATACCAAATGTAGAGAACAGATGGAATGGCAATGTTTTGGCTCACACAAGAGCCTTTCTCAAGCCATCATGGACATCTCTTCTCCACATAAAGTTTCTTAAAGCAGCACTGTCACTTGGCATGCAATGTTTCCAATTTAATCTGTTTTTGTTACTTAAGTCCCCCTTTAAAGGACCACTCTAGGCAACCAGACCACTTCAGCTTAATGAAGTGGTCTGGGTGCCAGGTCCCTCTAGGATACCCTTTTTTTATAAACATAGCAGTTTCAGAGAAACTGATATGTTTACACTGAAGGTTAATCCAGCCTCTAAAGTCTCTAGCGGCTGCCTCTTGACAGCCGCTAGAGGCGTTTGCGTGCTTCTCACTGTGAAAATCACAGTGAGAAGACCCCAGCGTCCATAGGAAAGCATTATGAATGCTTTCCTTTGGACTGGCTGAATGCGCGCGCAGCTCCTGCCGCGCATGCGCATTCAGACGAAGAGGAGGAGGAGGAGGAGAGGCGGCGGAGAGCTCCCCGCCCGGCACTGGAAAAAAGGTAAGTTTAACCCCTTTCCTCGCCATCCAGCCCGGCGGGAGGGGGTCCCTGAGGGTGGGGGCACCCTCAGGTCACTATAGTATGTTTTCCTGGCACTATAGTGGTCCTTCAAGGTTATAAATATACATAAATAGGAGCTTTAAGTAGCAAGCTAAGCACAACCATTAAAATATAAAGGGCATAAGGAAAGAAAAAAAAAACATGACGGTACCACTTTAAGGGAAAGTACGAGCTAAATAATGATAAAGCACTATAAAGGTTTATACAATGGTTCTAAGTAAGGCACGACTAAATGATGGCCCCCGAGTGGCTGTACAACTGTATCTCCTACGGTTATTGCCAGCCACAGATATAGTCAATATGAACTCTAGCAGAGCATGGTGGTAGTTTATTTTATTTTATTTTTACAAGAAGAGGGATACTTATGGCCACTCTAGACTTACTGGCTCTTCAACTATGCACATAAAATGCATAAAACATAGGGCCATGAATTATTTAATCTTATTAAGATGGATTTCATCAAACGTTTTACCATTTTTATTAAGAGTCTAAAAGAAACCCCATCCAAATAAATACCTTTGCCATAAAATGGAAGAAAATCCAATTGTAACATTTCTGTGAGAAAAGAAACAAACACAGAACTATATACATAGATACATATATAGGTTGAAAAAAAAGACCACTAGCCGGCAAACAGTAAATACATTTTGGGCGCATGTATTTTTATTTACCACGTCCTAATTAGTGTTCCCTCTAAGGAGGCTTGTGAGCAGGTCAGAGCTGAAATAGCAAAGAAAATAGGTTTTACAAGCAACTCTCGAGCAGAAATCCAATGCAAACTGCAGGAGCTGATTGCAATTCTTTGCATAATGGTTTCAGAGCTGGGTCACTCAAAATGTAGCCGTTAGAGGGAACACTGCTCTAGAGAGATCTATTTTTCTTTAAAAGTCCATCAGGCTTTATTGAAAGTATTCCGGATCTTAGTTCCATAAAAATATAACCTGATGTACAACACGTATGTCGTAAGATGCATGTCTGCACATTCCAAAGCGTATTCTGACAATCACATGAGCCCAGTTCATGGAGAGAGAAAAAAATATTAACCTTCAATAATGGAGACTGTCATATAACCATTAGTAAAAAAATTCAAAAATATATTTTGGACACAAGCGCTAATGTTGAAAATATAACACCTTGTGCATTATGTCACAGCTGAGAGGCAGAAAAAAAAAAAAAGATCCAACGAGAGCACTTAGAAGACTTTGCACAGACACCAGATAATATAACTGGACGGACGGTGTACTCTGAGTTCCAATGAATTAATCCATCTATCACGATATAGAATGGATCGAAACTTTCCTATTTGCATGTTCGTAAAAAAATGTATTGCAGCTGCAACTTAAACACCTACATCTCAGCAAATTAATGGTAAACGTGAAGACCAGAACAACAAACGTAGAAAACCAAAGACAAAACAAAAATACGCCTAAAAAATAAAAGTGCAGGTATCAAGGGAATAACTCCATCACTTGGGCTTGCTACAAGGAAGCTAATGGGAAAACAGGAATGCTGTGGACAATCAACATCTAGCTGGTATATTCACCTGCAAAAATGTAATAAACAAATGAAGGTTAGATACCGTCCTGTGGTCGGAGATGCAAGCGTCATGCGGCTTTAAATTCTGGACATGTTCAGCATGTCATGTAGGGTTAGAGAGTTACATTTCACAGAGCTCCTTCCAATCAGCACGATTAAATTGTCCTAATTTAAGGGAAGCAATTGGTGCCTATGAACACACCTTGCTAATTTTCATTTTAAATAAGTTATTGGCGTCTTAATGCATTTCGAGTTGTGGAATTCTCCACAATTCGTTGACATGTCAGTACTCTGTTGATTGATCTGATCCAATTGAAAAGTATTTCCAAATATAACAAAGGCCCTGGGAGCCCAATTGTATCATGATTTCTATAACGATCCAGCCAGCGTCTTTTTAATAGGCCATTAGCATGGGGGCCAGGTCATAAGCACTTTTATCTGTAAAAATGAAGAAAAAATAAAAGATGATATCCCTCTTCCTTTACCATTTTGAAACGTTTCGGCACCATTTTAAAAGAATACACAGCAAAATGAGGTTGAAAAGGTGGAAACCTAGTTCCCAACTTTTTGGCCTTGCTTAGATTTTATAATTCATCGTCCATAAACATTCTGGGGTAACTCAATGTTCAGCAGTTCATTAGGTTTTGAAAACATCTTCAGGTTTTTCATTCTGTGAAGACAGCAAGGCTATCAGATGTTCTCTATTAGCAGAGGAACTACACATGGTCAATACTGAGAGGTGGGTTGCACTTGCTTCTCTCCTCCACGCTGCTGTCTCCGTCCTGGACAATGACTGTCTCTTCATCTCCAAGCCTCTGGCTGGTAAAATTATTCATCTCCAGTAGCCCACTGGGTTCCACCACCACATTGGAGCTGGAGTGACAAGGGATGGGATACTGAGGTATAGTCTGAAAGTTTGGAGGAAAACAGAAAGACTGTGGACCTATGATGGCATAACACTACTTATTTCTACATCAATTGCGGTTCTAAACAGTGGCCTTTTGACACAATTACAAGTTATATTCCAAAGTGCATTCTTATAGCTGACTTCAAAAACCTCATCAACTGTACAGGTTTCCCTGACATAGAAACAGACTAATCTCTCGCTCTCAGATTATCCTACAAACACACTTTTAAATGTCAGAAATTTTTACTATGGGTCTTCATATAACATACTGATAGGTTAGAGCTTATTAAAGTGGGTGGTTGACATTTAGTAATTTCGTATTTAATATGTAGAAATAATAGATCAGCTCTAGATATTGTAAGGGTTTCTTTCATAAGGTTAAATCTCTCCAATCAGAATAAGCTCTTTAAACCAGGTCTCCATGCTGCACCCACTGCTATACGGTGACTGCTATACAGTGAGAATTGCGGTAGTTGTGGTTTAACGGCTGATAGAAAACCAAAGCCTGATGCACTCCAGCTTGGTGTTTTAGGGGCTAGTAATCTAAAATGTCTATTTTGTTAATAAACCCTTGCTACTGGAATTATATGGGAAAGCCTGGCTCAAACTTTTCCAGTCAGTATTGTCAACTTGCAGGCCACGCCCACATCGCAGTTCTTGGCTCTGTGCATAGCGTTCCGAGCTGTGCTGTGTGCGTGGTGATTAATACAGTGAATGATTACAATAGTAGAAAGGAAAATGTTCTCACTTTAAAAAAATTGTCCTGTCAAAAAAAAAAAATAACAATAAAAGTATTTATCTATATTTCTATCTCTATCAATTAAAAAAACAAAACAACTAAAATAAAAAAACACAACTAACTATGACGTTACATGTCCCTTTCTGGCATACTCGGTCTCACAGATTGGGAGTTCATTTTGTGCATTATGGGATGGCTGTTTACAGATCCCATGATCTCTGCCACTTTCGGAACTCTTGGTAACTACAGTGAGTAATATATATCCTGCCACAGAGCTCCCACAGTCTGATCATGCTTTATGTTCAGCCTCGCTCAATGATCACACTTAAAAATATAAGAAACAGCCAAGAGATAAAGGCTTTCTTCAAGTTGCAGTCAGGTGATCCCGACTATTGCCAGTTAGAAAATTTCAGGAGCGAGCCCGAATTTGACAGATTGTGTGTTTAAATAAGTTAATGCCAGGAAACCACACGTAAACGGTGTACCAATGCAAAAATTTTTAAAAAATTGTGATCATTGCATCGCACAATAGCAGGCACACCCCCTTAAAGGGTCACTCCAAGCATCAGTGATTTGAAGTGGCTATGGTGCTTGATATTTCATAAGTACTGCATTCTCTCTCCATGAGAAACTGCCAGCACTCTGTGGCAGGAGGTCACAAATCTAAAATACCCACGAAAATAATTATCTCTAAAAAATCCCTAGAATTAAGAAAAATGGCATGGCTTGGAACCGCTGCGATCATTACCTGTATGATAATCTCAGAAGGCACGTCTTCAGCTCTCTTTTGGGGGACATTCTGTATCTGGATGATCTGGCTGGTAACCGGCACGTCGACTTTCCTGGTCAGTGGAGGTGGTGGAGGTAAAGGAACTGGAAGAGCAGATGGAGGCGTTGCTGTGATTATAGGGGCTGGAAAACATTTAGGAGGTGGTGGCACTGTAGACGTCACAGTACTTGAAACTGGCAGCCGTGCTACCTGGGTGGGTATGGTTGCTTCTGTTAATACTGGCATGGGTTTGATAATGGGCGTAACTTTGCTCGGAGGATCAATAATCATGGGTTCCACGTTCGTGTCTATATCTGCCTCCATCATAGACATCTTCAATATGTCTGCTACAGAGGCCTTCTCTGTCACTGAAGAAGGGGGCAGGAGGCTGGCAACTGCGGGAGTGAGTTTTGGCAAACACTCGCTGATTGTGGCCTTAGAAACTGTGGGAGGTTGATGTCCTTCAAAGGTGATCTTGGTAACAGCCGATCCCTGTGAAACTATGGTATGCGGGACCTACAGACAAAAAATAAATAAAATTTAAAGCCATTAGGATTCAGAATAAGGAAACAATGAGCTAAACCCAAATAAGCCAACACCACTTTAATAGAACACTAAGTATGTGGAGACAATGCTTTTAATATAGTCTTCCTCACTGAAAGGAACGCCCTGTAACTGATGTTATCTGGTCTTCGTATTTGCTGAAACAGAATACTTTCCTTTTTTTTGAGGTCACTTCCTAGGATTCTTTAATGACATGTTTACCTACCCCCTAAATTTAACAAACATGCATCATTCCCATGCAAGTGGGCGCCTCCATCTTAGCTCCATGACCATCATTATTATAAGCTCTGCCCTTTAAATCTGGCAGTCCGTTAATAGAAAGCATTTAGATAAGAGGAGAAATTGAACAAAAAATTATTTATATCGAAGTAACGGTCATTATTTTGGTTAAATGGCGATAAAAAAAAATAAAAAAAATTACTGTTTCGGTCGTAGCAAATTCCATCAGTTTTCTCAGAAATGGTGTTATGTGACAGTTCCCGTTTAATGGGACACTATAGTCACCAGAACAACTGCAGCTTAAAGTCCCTGCAGGCTTTTTATTGTTAATATTGTTGCCTAGTAACACCTCTAGTGGTAGTCACTAGAGGTGCTTCCTGGGTCAGTGCTGCACAGTGTGTAGCAATGGCGTTCAGCGTCTCCACGCTCTGCATGGAGGTGCTGAACGTTCCCCATAGCGATGCATTGATTCAATGCGCCTCTAAGGAGATGCTCGTTGGCGCGGCGTGGCGTTTTGTAGTGCATGCTCAATCATCGATCTCAACCAATAAGGCGGAGCAAAGGTGGCCAGCCACAGTAAAAACGTGAGAGAAAAGGGGAATTGAAACACCTTCTCACTGTTCTTACAGGAGTGCCGGGGACCTAAACGGCCACACCAGCATTATATGGTCAGGAATACAGGTTTGTGTTCCTGACACTATAGAGTTTCTTTAATGACTTCTATTCAGCTGAGCTAGAAGTAAACCAACTCTGCTCTTTTATTTGTTAAGGCCTAGTAGTAGCCGGAGATAAAGCTGGATAAGCTGTGGCCTAATGTGTTAATCCTCGACACAGAGTTGCTATAAGGTAATTACCCATGATGCTTAGCCAGTCAACAAATTGGTTAAGCAGCACAGGAAAAGCCAGCGCAAGCTCAATGCTTGGTTGTCAGCTGAGGCTCTGTAATAATTATGTTTACCTGGGTTATAGATGTCTTCTCGGATGACACCGGCAGCTGCATCGGAGTCTGGGACAGCTGAGACTGCATGTATATCTTCTGCTGGCCTTGTATCTGCTGCAGTTTTGGCAATTGCTGGGTAGTTTTCACAGCCAAAACCTGTACTACAGTCTGCTGGGGCTGAGACACTAGGGAAGGTATGTGCCTCTCCTTGACCAGCATGTGGCGCTGTTGCACATGTTCCTGTTGCAGGGGTGTGATCTTCTGCTGCCGTATGGATAGCTGCGCAGTTTGTTGGATCTTATGCTGGATCTGTTCTGGTTGCAGCTGGATAATCTGCTTTTGTTTAGTCTGCAAGGACTGCACAGTCTTCACCTGCAGATGGGCTCCCTCCTGGTGCAGGTGAATCTGCTTCTGCTGCTTCTGGGCTAAGGCGGCTCTATAGAACAAGCCAGTCTGAGGGTCTAAAGTGTCCATTTCTTCAACTTCTCCTTCCTCCGTGACCGTCTCCTCCGTTCGCTTGGCAAAAGCCGTGTGGCTGCTTAATGCCTGTGAGACAATGTTAGCAAAAGGCTGCAAATTAAATAAATGAAATCATTAAAGCCAATCATCATTACCTAAATATATATAGAAACAAACACAAAGCACTTTGACTGTTTGACTACTTACCCTGGGAGGGCACCACTGCGCTCCTGGCACAATAACCACTACAGTGTACTGTAGTGGTTATTGTGCCAGGATTCTTTCTTTAAATAAATAATCTACCAGTGCCCCTCCCAAGATTAGGTTCTGGATGCGCCCCTGACAGGGAAACATTTCTGCTTAACAGGGGCCCAGTATATGACGCAGCGCTGTACATGTATACAACCTAGAAATGTTTTTGACTTGGGGTGCCTTAGAAAAATATTGAAACCATAAAAGCTTTGGAACCACAGGTCTAGAAGAAGGGCAGCACTAAAGCTACTGAACACAACATGTTGCCAGCAGTAACATTTTAGGTATGAATCCATTGCTCCTTGATTTTTTCAGTTACAGTTTAAACCTTATGGAACTATCTATTCTGACATGAGAGCAAGAGGAGTTGTCAACACACTAGGCTAACAGGGAACAGAGCCAGCAATGTCATACCATGGCCCCACGCACTGTAGCAGGAAATATGACGTCACCTCCTGCATGCTAGCCACCGAGGAGCTTTGCCAATCACGAGTTGTGAGTACAGCAAAGTGATTGACAAAAAACAAAAAACAAAATCAGTTTAGATTCTACAGGTTAATGTTACCTACCTAGCCAAGTCGGGGCTAGACATAAAGAAGGGATTATGGTCTTCTTTTGGGGCAACAGGGGAGGTTATAAGGCTGACCAACTTGGCTAATAAACATTCTGCTTATTCCGATTATGCCACAGACAGTTTACATGAAAACCGTCAATTAACTAAAACAGTATCCTGCATTATGTATCTGCTTAAAGAAACAAACATATAATGGTTTATTGACCAAACATCAATGGGTAATCAATTGAAGCCAGAAATAGAAACTCCTCCAACACCACGAGCCAGCTGTAGCCACAGAGTGGTTACTTTAGCCAAAAAATTGCAATTAAACTACAAATCAGTGTTTAGTAAACAAGAGGTTTTGATGGTTAAAAGGTAACAGCGGCTACGAGCAGAATTCCATGTTTGATCACACTTTCCATCCATGAAACAATGGGACAATCTATGAGTGCGTTCAGTATCCAACTTGAATAACAAACGTGTGCTGCCAAGAATGTCTAAGGAGGCAAAGAAGACAAAAATTTTTATAAAAGATATTCATAGAGGAAGCAGTGAGATACCTGATGCATGATGTGAGTGATGGCTCCACTGGATGACGTAGGGATAGACTTCACAACCACGGACGTCTGTGCAGCAGTCTGTGACTGAGATACATGCTGCAGTAAGGTGCGGGTGGGCTGTGACGGCTGCAGTTGGTGGTGGTGGTGGTGTTGGGATGAGTGACTCACTTGGAGAAGGGAGGTGAGTGGCACATCTCCAGAGCTCACAGTGTTGGTTGAAGCCACCTGACGCGCTTTACCTTTAAACAATACAATAATGGATATTAGGCCCAGTCTAATCATTCAAAATGCGCCTCTTCAATGTGAACTGTTAATTCAAGCTACTGAAGGCTGGGTCACTGGGCAAACACTTTGGGCTATATGCTGGGATACGTAGTCCCCGGTGATACAACTGAAAGACTGAAAACATTTTAACTAATTTACAATAAAGGGTGTCATGGTAATAGCCAACAGAAGAGACAGAATACAAGACAGACAAAACTACATAATACAGGAGATCAGCATAAAAACCATGTACTCTCTGAATGATTGCCAAAAGGTAATGACACATTTTGTTCAGAAATGCTTTAGAACCGATAAAGAGATTATCTCCCAAAAGCTTGTTGACCGAAAATTCTGTTGGTTCAATAAAAGAAAAAAAAATGCATTAACAGATACTAACAGATTTATTCACGAAGAAGGAATTGTCAGGGGGTTCAAAGTGAATTTCAAAATAGCCAAAAATTGTTGAAATGAGTTGACTTTTTAAAAATGTACAATTTATTTTGAATTCACTTTTAGTTTCCAATGAATAGTGCGGTGTGATTATTAGTTTATTATGGTCTGGGTGACTATAATGTCCCTTTAAGGACAGAAGCAATTGTCCAAGTTCTGAACCAAAAAAAACCCCTAGAATTTGAGCTATACGTTTGTTCAACCATAATTTTCCTCTTTCATATTGACTGCACCCACACTTATGTATCATTTTGTTCAGAAGAAATGGGGCATATATTATATATATATATATATATATATATATATATATATACATATACACACACAAATGTGAGAAATGTTTATTTTAAGTTCTGCACAGCATTTTAACTGTGAATGTCATAATACTGTTGACTTTTAATGCAATAAAACACATATTTGTTTGCTGTGATGTTCCATGAGTACAACGATGCCCCTCAATGTACAGGCTTCATGGGGTTTTGAAAAGTTAGGGGTCAAGTATAGGGCTTGCCCATTTCAGTTTTTAAGCATTGAACTTTTGGCAGCCCAGGAATGAGAATTACCCCAATCATGGCACACCATTTGCAAAAGTAGACCACCCAGGGTATTCAAAATGGGGTATTTCCAATCTTTAGTAGGCACTTGGTCACAGACCCGAGCCAAAGTTAGTGTTCATGTTGGTTTTTTGCATTTTTCACACAAAAACTGCACTTTTACCAATATCGTCATTATACTTTTTACTGCTTTAACACACTCATATTTGTGTTCAGTGATGTCTGAAGAAAAGAACAGTATTCCCCCTTGTACAGGTTTTACGGGTTTGAAAAGTTACAGGGTCAAACATAGGGCTTGCAAATTAAATTATCTAGTATTTCTGTCTGGGTTGCCGCAGAGATCTCCCCAATATCACAGAGGGAACGGCTGAGCATGCGGCAATCGCAGAGGGATTGGCTGAGTGCGCGGTAATCGCAGAGGGATTGGCTGAGTGCGCGGTAATCGCAGAGGGACTGGCTGAGTGCGCGGTAATCGCAGAGAGACTGGCTGAGTGCGCGGTAATCGCAGAGAGACTGGCTGAGTGCGCGGTAATCGCAGAGAGACTGGCTGAGTGCGCGGTAATCGCAGAGAGACTGGCTGAGTGCGCGGTAATCACAGAGAGACTGGCTGAGTGCATGGTAATGACAGAGGGACTGGCTGAGTGCATGGTAATGACAGAGGGACTGGCTGAGTGCATGGTAATGACAGAGGGACTCGCTGAGTGTGCGGTAATGACAGAGGAACTGGCTGAGTGCACGGTAATGACAGAGGGACTGGCTGAGTGCACGGTAATGACAGAGGGACTGGCTGAGTGCACGGTAATGACAGAGGGACTGGCTGAGTGCACGGTAATGACAGAGGGACTGGCTGAGTGCATGGTAATGACAGAGGGACTGGCTGAGTGCACGGTAATGACAGAGGGACTGGCTGAGTGCACGGTAATGACAGAGGGACTGGCTGAGTGCACGGTAATGACAGAGGGACTGGCTGAGTACGCGGTAATGACAGAGGGACTGGCTGAGTGCGCGGTAATGACAGAGGGACTGGCTGAGTGCGCGGTAATGACAGAGGGACTGGCTGAGTGCGCGGTAATGACAGAGGGACTGGCTGAGTGCGCGGTAATGACAGAGGGACTGGCTGAGTGCGCGGTAATGACAGAGGGACTGGCTGAGTGAGCGGTAATGACAGAGGGACTGGCTGAGTGCACGGTAAAGACAGAGGGACTGGCTGAGTGCACGGTAAAGACAGAGGGACTGGCTGAGTGCATGGTAATCACATTCGGAACAAACTTGCATTTAAAATGAGACTTTTCAGAATTACCCTTCATACTGGCAGGATTGATTGACAGGACTGGGAGGGGAGGAAGCATATATGAGCAATTACATAACTAAAATAAAGTGCATGCCCCCCTCACCATGTGGGTATGTGCGATTGGCTATTAATGAGACTCCCCACGTGGGCTACACCTTTATAAGGAAAATTATACTCCGTGCTACTTTTTCCCCTGACGAAGGTGCACACATGAATGCATCGAAACGTGCGTTGGGTTTTTGATCCTTTTGGCACTTATCACTTGGTGAGGTCTAGGTGTACATAGACATTATCTGTTAAATTTCACTATTCATTTTTTCTGACTCCTTTATCTGACTTTCTTAGTTAGATTACCAGGGAGAGAGGTCTACTGCTATTCCTTCACTAACTACTCTTACCTATTGCCATTTTGATATCCTCCTATTATGTATTATATAGAGGATCTAAGCAATACTTGCCAGCAATGCACTGGTTACATTTCAGTAACTCTCCTATGCACAGAGACAATTTAACCATCTCAACCCGGGTTCCCTTTATAACTATTTTAGTGGGGTAACGGATTGATATATACGTAGGTATATATAAACTTTATAGGCCTGCACAATAAAGCCTTCTGACTCGAAGCATCATAAAGGGTTAAGATATAACCCTGTGTAGAGTTATTTATTTGATATTGGAGTAGCCTTATAATGCTAGTGGATATATATTTATATGTAAGTTTTTCACTGATCTGTACCCTGCTCTATGTCTTTATATATATATTGAGTATTTACTATATTTGTTAGAATACTTACCTCATTTCCAGATTGGCACTTACCTACATTGTGTGGATTAAGTGCATGTTTGTATATTGGTATTTACGATTTAGGGTTAAGTCCTTAGACACACCTGGATTGTCTAACTGGTGTTTCAGGAAACAGTTTTCTTGGAGCCTGCAAGTTTTCTCTGTTTCTGAAAATACTATCGTAGGCTATGAATTGGTACTTAATGTGTTTGTCACACTCTGTTGTAAATTGTTACATTTATATTTTACCTTTATTTTAAGCCTGAATAGTTGTGTGAAATGCAGAAAAACCTACCCAAGTATTCACTTATCCTCCTGACACTTCTGGGATAAAACATTGGACCATCAACGAGGGGAGATACGGTGTATACGTGGACAATAAGAATCGTCCCAGAGAGGTCGGGATTTTGTATGGTGAAAGTCACTGAAAACTGGATATCTCGGCCCTTGACCCAGTTTTAGGCTGCTCTACCCACAGCACTACAGGCAACGCTGCATCAATGTCTCACTGGAGTGTGCTTCTCTTCCTTTCTAAGAAACATCTCCCATGACGTGCAGCAAGGAAATTTTAAATCGAAAAAATCTGGGGTGCCTATGTTTGCCATTGCTGATCTACAAGGATCTCTCTTCCCTCCAGTACTGAAACATCTGTCACTGGTCTGGCAAAGTCCCCTTTTACCTGTGCTTATGTATTCTGCAACCAACTCTGACTCCACCACAGCAAATGAAGCACTTTGGACCTGCCGCTTATCTGAGGCCCTCTGGATGGGAACAGCCATCTGACTCAGGTCTATGGTTGGTTGACGGGTTCTAGATTCCACTTTCTCTTTCACTGAAGAACAAAAGGACTCATTTTAAAAAGAGCCACTGAGCACAGAGGTGATATTTAAACATCCTCTAAATCTGCTCAATAGATCAGCCCAGCCTTGGCTACCCATGGCATCCCAGATATTTGTCTCAGAACCAGTAATCACCATTACTCTAAAACAAAAATCATCATCTCAACAGAAAAAGCTCTTACTAAAACCATTCTTCAACCACAGACCCTGTCCAGTTAGCCCTTAGTGGGGGAAACAAAACGGGTCGGGACGCATGAGTGTATTCGTATAATATCTACGGAGCATCTAGACATTCTGTTACATGACAGACTTTTTGAGATCCTACTGAACAACTCTAATCCATACTTAGGTAAGAATAAAACCCCCTGACCTAAGCTGGCAGGTTCACTAGCACACTGTATATATTCAGTTTCACTATGCACAACAGAAGATCTCAATCCATTTAAGACTGAATATGCTACTATAAGATATAGGAAGGATGGTAGTACAGATAGAACACACACACACAATGCATTTTGCAGACAAAATAGAATTATAGTTTTTTAGTTTGTGTTTGATGAAACTCTTATCAGCTTTCACATCTTCAACAAAACCGATATCCCCTGCGTGTTTAGATTAAAGGGATACTACAGTCACCGGAACCCCTACACCTTAATGTAGTAGTTCTAGTGTGTATAATCTGTCCCTATGTCTTGGCCATAACAGGACTACAATTTGGTATTCCTGACACTATAGTGTTCTAGCGTTTCTTTAATAAGGAATTCATTAACAATTAGCACCAAAACATTTATCATTTTCCAAGCAGCCGTCACTAAGAAAAAGCATCTGTGACATTCTATAGAGCAACCCACAGGCTGAGTGACTGAAGCTCCTAACTGAATAATTGCCCGCCATTGGCAGAATCTATAAGGGAGATGGAGGCACTCATGACTATGTGCAAGTATTTCCCTTGTCACCTTCTCTCCCAGACCGCCGTACACCAAGAAAAAAGTCACCCTCGCAATGTTTGAAAATACACAAATCCCTTTAATAATGAGTAATTAACACTTCTGCATTATCAATTCCATTCAACCCGGACGGCAGTGATATGAAATCAAAGCAGTAATCTCTGAAGGTGGTCAACGCTAACTCCAATAAATCCTACGATGACTTCCACCCGGCAACATTCCAACTGTACGGACTTAACGAGGACCAATAAGGGAGAAACCTTCCACAGTGTTGCCAAATCTACATGGGAAGGCAGTGAAAGGCTGAAAGTGTCATGGGGTGAGGTGGACTGAAGTCATTCTAATAACAAGTAACTTTAGATTATGCATTACGTCGGATGAAGAGGGTAGGATTTTTGGGTGACGGGAAAACCTTAATTTTTCTCAAAACTCTTCCAAGTGGTTTAATCAAACTAGGAAAGAGAACAGAGACTCGTGACAGTATAATTACTACCCTGAGCTGCTCTGCTCCAGTATAGCATCACTCAATGGAAATGCTAACCAGGTCACAGGACGTAATTCCTGTATATTTGATACCCTATGAAACTGGATTATTAGACACTAAAACGATGGAAAGCACCATCAGTACTGTAAACAGTGTAAAGAACAACATTATGATATCTAATAATGATCACTGGGCTCAGCTTGTGAAGGGTTCAGGGGGTTTGTCTGGTATTTGGTATTGTCACAGGATGGGATGGTGAGTGGAAAGGAGTTTACCTGTATCTTCCAACCCAGAGAAAGGAATGTATTTTAAAAAAAAACACCTCTCTCGTGTACAATATGCATAAAGCAGAGCAGACTGCACGCAGAGATAGAATATTTTATCAAACAACTGTTGGAATAGTGGGCAAAACACAAAGAGTGTTATTCTCATCAATCCTAGAGTCGAGCGCTAGCGGAGAAGCAATCTCTATGGAAATAATATGAATGTCCCAGCAGGTTGTTCTTGGTGAGCCTTTATCAATATGGCTGCCCTAATGTCCTGCTAACATTACCATGCAATATCATGCATAAATAAAGCTTTGGTATTTAAATTGAACAGACCATATGCTTAAATATGTTCGTTATGTTTTCGCCATATATGCAAAATATACCTTGATATGCATACAAACCCCAAAATATATTGTTCAAGGAAGTATTTACTAATGGACTCTAATGGGAGACGCTGGCTCAACAAAATTACAAATGCATAACTTCAATGATTGGAAACCCTAATGCATTACTGAGGCCTGAAACAACAGCGATGCGGCCTGAAACAACAGTGACACTCCATGGACCTATATTGAAATCGAAAGATCTCCCTTACCAGCTCCTTACAAAGAGCGAGCCAGTGATCTGCACGTCACTGTCTGCAACCCCGCCTGGTCCTGTGTTAAGAGTGTCTGATAGAAAGTGAACTGCACCCTCCCAACCAAACCACAAACATTTTTTTTTAAATCTTATAATAAAAGGTGTGAAAAAGCTGAAGTCAAAACACATGCAGCCTTCCTCACCCATGCAAAACACATATCACACATTGTCGTGATACCGCCTCCCACACGCAGTCGGCACTGACTATGACTGTGTATAGCTGAAAGTATTTTGGAATTTTATGATTGTTCAAGTGGCCCCTATGGGAGAAGATTACTTGGCCAGTGCCCCCCAAGTGAGTTTAGAATCCCTGCTATAATAGTTAAATTGTGACCCCATAACTTCTAATAAAATATACAAAATATACAAATCTGTGCGTGTTGTCTTCCTCGGCAAACACAGGCATTGCTTGTAAATATCCTAACATATCTCTTTCCTCCTGTTTCTCCATATTGGATGGTGGATCCCCTTTATGGCTGTAGATGTAAGTAGGTTTACACTAAATTCGCATGTTTTCTGTAACGTTTAAAAAGGTTTTTCGACACAATACCCATGCTTTGTGAGCCCACTCTTACAACATGAGGGAAGCGATGACTTTATTGCTTTAGAAAACCATAGAAGCAGAATTTCATGTATCACATGCAGGCCAAACTATAAAAGGATAGGCCTACCCTTTTTCTTACACAATGTAGTTTAGACTTGTGCAATCACATATACAGCTTCATAACATGAATGGCGGGTGAGTTTGTAACAAGTTTAGCAAACAAATCTTTGTTGTCTTTTTGCAGTGAAAAGACTGTATTGGGACCAAGCGTGTACACAGCCAAGACATTCTGAAGTCCTAACCCACTGATCATGTAAAACCACTACTATTTCAGTCTATGGGGAAGAAATCATGTGATACCAAAAACACACGTCCTAATTGCAGGTAAGTACAACTATGTCCAAGACTGAGGGTGTTCATTGCATACAGCAACACAATATGTTTTCAAACTAATTATTACAGGAACAGGAACAAAAATGCATTGCTGAAACTATTTTTCATATTTTTTAAGAAAAGGGACACTATAGTCACCAAAACAACTAACTTAATGAAGCAGTTTTTGGTGTATAGATCATGTCCCTGCAGTCTCACTGCAATTTAGGAGTTAAATCACTTTCAATGCAGACTTAGGCACACCTCCCTGCAGGTGACTTACACAGCCTTCCTAAAGACTTCCTGTAAAGAGTCTTCTAATGTTTACATGTCCTTCATTGCAATTTTGTTTAATGTAATGTAAAGTAGGACTTAGTATCTCCTGCTCTGTTAATAGCTTGCTAGACACTGCAGGGGCATCCTGTACGTAATTAAAGTTCAATTTACAGAGCAGGAGATAAAAACTTTTAAAGTAAGTTATATCTAAATATATGATTAATAAATTAAACCATTTTTTTTTTCATGGAGGCTGTGTGGGCCACAATCAGGGGAGGTGTGGCAAGGGCTGCCTGTACAGAAATAAAAGTGATTTAACTACTAAATAGCAGAGAATTGAGCAGTCAAACTTCAGAGGCATGATATATACACATATACTGCTTCATTAAACTAAAGTTGTTTTGGTGACTATAATGTCCCTTTGAATTACCAATAATAAGAAGGCTCTGCCAAAAATTTAGTAACGTTTAAAGAATCTTACCAAGCACTTTACTAGCATTTATACAATGCAAATAGACATTGTACGCACTTCTCACAGTACTGAATCGGTACAGAAAGTGAGGTAAGAATTCTGACAGGTAAGTCTGCTACACATATATCCTATAAGAAATAGGTTTAAGCAATGCAACGTGAAGCCGTCTGAATACTGCCCTCCTCCCCCAGTAACCCCTTTAACTCACCAGCAGTCTGCTGAAGCTCCATGAGAGCCTTAATTGTGGATGTGGCGGACTGCGATTCGCCAGCTATATCTTGGTATATTATAGTAGGACCAGTGTCCATCGCGATCTCATGTTCAGACCAGTCCTGACCTCGAGAAGCAATTACATGGACCACAGGCTGGGAGTCTGACAAGGAGACAATACAACACACTGACTATTTTGCATATCAGAGGAGACCACTGACGGTCACCACAAACCATTTTGCTTAAAGGAATACTACAAGCACCATAACATCTTATGGTGTTGAACGTGCCAATGGGAAGTCAGGTTCATGTAATGCACAAGTACCAACTATCCCATGGCATTGAGTGAAACATTCTCATTATTACATCCCTAGCAGAGGGGATGCTTCAAAAAAGACAGGATGTCACCCGTAGGTTCCCTGTACTAGCTCACCAGGTGCTTGGAGTGTCCCTTTAAGGCAATAGCTGCCAGTTACTGTGCAGGAAGCATGCACTCACATTGGAAACCAATACTTGAAGATTCTTCACTGGAAAAGAAATGGTTACACTAGTGAAAGTCTGACACACAGATTGGGCTGTGATACCTTGGGAACTCTGTGAGGACTCCGTAGAAGATGAGCTGCTTTCAGTATCTTCTTTCACCTCCTGGATGGTGGCGCTCGTTGCCTCTACCACGCGTGAAGCCTGTTGGAGAGTTTCCGTAACCAGTTGCCTGGTTTGCTCACTCATTACTGTGGCCTGGAATGTAACTGGTTTGGGTTTTATAAGGACCTACAACAAAAGGACATACATAAAGAAATCAAACAGCTATAGCAGGCCCACCCCTTCCTCATTCCAGCACTGATACTCCGACATCTGCAGCTGAACTGAGGTCATAGTCAGCCTGGAAACATTCATGACAACCTAGTCTTCTCATCTGGTGTTTAATGAGAACTTAGAGATGTGTCTGATGTTAACTTCACAATTCATATACAAAAGTATAAAAAAAGAGCTGTCTGAGAAAATTTTTTTTTTACATAATAATCAAAAAAATAAATAAATAATAATAAAAAAAAAAAAATCGAACACCAAGCATTTCAGCTTTGTCACTTTCTTACATTTTATAACTGGAAGCAGAAACACTCCCAGTTTTTACTCAGACAGCCAGTGAGGTTTTTTAACACTTCTGTTAGGGCCACATCGCAAACAGAGGTGGCAGGCGTGCGGTGCTAAACTATGCCTGCCTTGTCAATGAGCTTAGAAGCATTGAAAAACGCACGCTCGTGGCTTCAACCTTGAGGCTTCTCAAGGACAGAAAGCAAAGGGCTGTTCATTCTCAAGGACAGAAAGCGAGGGGCTGTTCATTCTCAAGGACAGAAGAGGGAGGGCTTGCAAAGGCTTTTGCAAGCTTTTTTTTGTTGTTGTTTTTTTTACCCCCAAAGAAAACATGCAGAGAAAAAAAATATATATATGCATGCTTTCATTGAGGGTATATGTACAAAGTTAAAAAGTTAAACAATTAATTTGCATGCTCTGCTGGTTAAAGTCAGGAATTTGAATTTGCCAGATATGCTTCAGAGATTCTGAATATCTGTAGTTGGACCCACACCTGTGTTTTCCCCTGCTGTCCATAGACTATCTTGGTGGGTATAATTTTGGTTGCCGGCTGGACAGCTGAGCTCATCCCTTTGGGCTGTGTGACAATCATCTTGGTGATGGGACGTGTAGCAGTGATGATTGCTGGCTTGGTTCCTGCTGGCATTGCTTGCAAAGCCTTTTCACCCTAGTAGGGAAACAAAATAACCCATTGTTTACCTCTGGCACGCGCGCACACACACGGACACACACACGGACACACACACACTCTATTTTGAACAAGGACAGTCTAAAAGTTAAAAAATCCAAACTTGCAAAGCAATCATAAGAGAAAAATGGAGGGGGCAAGGTAGAGTGTGAAGAAGTTAGGAAGAGATAGAGATAGGAAGGCAGTGGTAAAGAGGTCATGGGAGAGGAGGAGCTTGAGAAAGAGAGGAGATATATCAGATCTAAATGCTGGAAACAGACACTGGCAGATGGAGGGCTTTGTTGGCATGATATCATTCAGTAAATCATACAATGCATGGATTGTGATAAAGCAGTCCCAACATTAGCCGACATACGGTTCCAACACGGAACAAAAATACATGTGCTGTATGTGGTATATTATTGAAACATACACGAGAAAGGCACATTCATTCTAGCTATGTTTAAATCTTATTAGCAGTGTTTGCTGATAAAGCTTGGAGTACCCCAATTGTGCATTGCCATATCTTATGGATAACGCTTACTGGAGAGGCCAGTCCCATATATTTCTTGATTGGATTCCTATGTCAGGGCTTCAAATGTCCACTCGCCATTAGCAAGTGAAAATTCAGCCCAGGCTTGCACTGGCTAGTCATGGCATCAGTAATGTCTCTGAGCTGGCACTATCCACCAAGCATACAGTTAGTATTTTAGTAATGCTAAAAGTGCCTCTGTGCATCACCTGACATTTCTTTTACAGTTTAAACCCAATAGAAATTATTTGTAACTTTTTTTTTTCAGCTAAGCAACCAAAGCGAGGTTTGGTTGTATTACCCCTTGCTGATGGGGCAGCGGTTCAGTTCGGTAGGGACACACTCAAACTAACAAAATATTTCCAGACTTAAACACCCTGCAGAGAGTCTGATGTCCCCACCGAATCAGAATAGTTAAAGGACCACTATAGGCACCCAGACCACTTCAGCTTAATGAAGTGGTCTGGGTGCCAGGTCCAGCTAGGGTTAACCCCTTTTTTTTTTTTTTTATAAACATAGCAGTTTCAAAGAAACTGCTATGTTTATAAATGGGTTAATCCAGCCTCCAGTGGCTGTCTCTTGACAGCCGCTAGAGGCGCTTGCGTGCTTCTCACTGTGAAAATCACAGTGAGAAGACGCCAGTGTTCATAGGAAAGCACTGTGAATGCTTTCCTATGGACTGGCTGAATGCGCGCGCGGCTCTTGCCGTGCATACGCATTCAGCCAAAGAGGAGGAGAAGAGGGAGGAGAGCTCCCCACCCGGGGCTGGAGAAAGAGGTAAGGTTAACTACTTCCTCTCCCCAGAGCCCGGCGGCAGAGGGTCCCTGAGGGTGGGGGCACCCTCAGGGCACTATAGTGCCAGGAAAACGAGTATGTTTTCCTGGCACTATAGAGGTCCTTTAAGCCGATCAGCTTCAAAGAATTAACACAGTGTTTGAAATAATTGATAATAACTGTCCTGTAGGAAGTCTGGAGGAACTAGCGCTATCAATATGGAAAAATGGCACAAACCCTATGACAGATCAGTTTTAAGATATTATCAATAAATCCTGCCCAATGCCCTTTATTCTCCAAACCAAACTAAGATCCTTTTGGGTATAAAGAGTCAGATACCCATTACAGAGGATGCCTAACGTTTATACAACTTTTTACCCCAAACTTTAAAAAGGAGTATTAGAACACTGCCAATAAACATGAAATATTTATCAATAATCCGAAAACAAAAACCTGGAGTTTACATTTGTAGGACACACTTTAAATGAAATATTTTCTGTAAACATGCATTTTTGTGCACTCTAGTTACACCCAGACCCAGCACTGTAGCAGGATCTGGGGTTGGGGGTGCAGGGCTATTCCCCTGATGAGATTCTAGGTAAAAACTTAAAATAGCACACCTACCAATATATTCCACTCAAAAGCAGTTATGTTCTTGTTCTGTCAGAAAGTAATTACAAAAACAATACTTGTGTAAATTCATGGACGCAAAATGAATACATTGATTCAGTGAGAATTATACGACACTCAAGTAAGTTTACAAACAAGAATAAATATCCTTTTATAAACAATAAAAACCTTGATCAATGTATGTTCTGCTCACCCCTGTATTCAGCAGTGTTGTAACAACATTTTTTCCGGGGAGTCCTTGAATAGTCGTTCCTTTCCCTGCTGTTTTCTGCACCACGATGACATTGGGCTTCGAGGTCATGGGGATGGTGGTAATCTTGGTTGTAGTTCCTGAGTATTTAAAAAAAAAAAAAAACCAGACGAGAAGGATAAATACTACAGCTGTCAAGGTGGTCAACCTATGGTGACTGATCCACTTTCACAACTCCAGTCTTACTGGAGTACGACACTGATAACACACTCATCCATGAAATGGATATTTTATATACTGTATGTGGTTGCAGAACAATATCTGACATATTATACCGTATAGTGTCCTGGGCATTTAAAAAAAAAAATTTAAAGTGTGCGGATCACACTGCTTTGTTTTATATTATCTGTGTCATCTAAACTCGCTGCAAAACTCTTCCACATTTCATTAAACTGCAGATTTCCTGTTGGCATCAACAGCATACGACCTGCCAAAAACCACATGTGAGCAGTAACACCAATAGAATCCCTGCACTGGGCTTGTTAAACCGTCAGCAAATGTACAACAAAAAGATATACCTAACAAAACGGGGGGTTGAGTCAGCGCTAGTCAGAGAGGCAGCAGTCCCAAACAAGGATTCCCTCTGGTGTCCTTGGAATACAAATAGTAGGAGCAGAAAAAAATGGGGGATGGGTCTGCGCCGATGTGTACACTGAGTGTTGAGTCCAATGTATATTGTCGTGTCCAAAGTTCTACTTTTGGTGGGGTTCAAAAGGTACGGTATCGTGGAGAGTAGTCCAAATATAAGAAGTAGAAGAGATCTTACTTACAATTAACAGAGCTTAACCCAGCTCTGGTGTGGATAGCTCGCAGCGGTATTATCCCCGCTTACAGGATATTCGGCAAGTGTCCTCTTCTTTGTGTTAGCAGGTGGTCGTAGTTGGGGAAGATAAAATGAAGACAGTAATGGTGCAGTATGTTCTACACTGATAAAAAATATAATAAAATATGATTGATACACTCACATTCGGTAGAGCTTAGGCTAGCTCTAGTTGGTTAGGCGTACAGCGGTATCATCCCCGCTTATGGGATATATGAGGAGTGATCTTGATCGAAGTATCAGGAGCTTGAAGAGAAGGTAAAACAGCGATAGTGCTCTCAATAAAATCTTGAATGGTAAAATAAAATAATAAAATATACTCACAGTGTATAGGGCAGGCTAACTGCTCTATGTAACAGCGTAGGTGGTATAATCCCCACCTGGGATTCTTGGAGTATGGTATACAGGACTTAAAATAATAAAAAAAATAATATATATATATATATAAATAGAAAGTTATTAAAATAGCCAGGTAATAAAAAAGATGATGGTTTATATGTAAAAGTGACCAAAATCTTTTATTAACAATATATAAAATAGTATAAAATATCCAAACGCGTTTCACCAATGTAAGGCTTTATCAATGTTTTGTTATCCATTGATAAAGCCTTACATTGGTGAAACGCGTTTGGATATTTTATACTATTTTATATATTGTTAATAAAAGATTTTGGTCACTTTTACATATAAACCATCATCTTTTTTATTACCTGGCTATTTTAATAACTTTCTATTTATATATATATATATATATATATTTTTATATATATTTTATTTTTATTTATTTTTTTTTTTTTATTATTTTAAGTCCTGTATACCATACTCCAAGAATCCCAGGTGGGGATTATACCACCTACGCTGTTACATAGAGCAGTTAGCCTGCCCTATACACTGTGAGTATATTTTATTATTTTATTTTACCATTCAAGATTTTATTGAGAGCACGATCGCTGTTTTACCTTCTCTTCGAGCTCCTGATACTCCGATCAAGATCACTCCTCATATATCCCATAAGCGGGGATGATACCGCTGTACGCCTAACCAACTAGAGCTAGCCTAAGCTCTACCGAATGTGAGTGTATCAATCATATTTTATTATATTTTTTATCAGTGTAGAACATACTGCACCATTACTGTCTTCATTTTATCTTCCCCAACTACGGCCACCTGCTACCACAAAGAAGAGGACACTTGCCGAATATCCTGTAAGCGGGGATAATACCGCTGCGAGCTATCCACACCAGAGCTGGGTTAAGCTCTGTTAATTGTAAGTAAGATCTCTTCTACTTCTTATATTTGGACTACTCTCCACGATACGTACCTTTTGAACCCCACCAAAAGTAGAACTTTGGACACGACAATATACATTGGACTCAACACTCAGTGTACACATCGGCGCAGACCCATCCCCCATTTTTTTCTGCTCCTACTAAAAAGATATACCTACCTGAAAATCAAGGAGTGCAATAACCCACCCACAAAGGCAGACTGGAACAGATAAAGGAGGGTGGAAGAAAAACCTTTGCTTTCTGTGGAAGTTTCAGGGTCTGCAGTCTTTACAGAGGATATGGTTAAAGAAGGAGCACAATAAGTCAGGACTGTCATGTTTGGAAATATAGAGGCCACTTACTGGGAATGAGAGTCCAAAAGTCTGTTTTGTTTTTTTTATCAATTTAAAAATGAAAAACTCCAGGATTAGCAATATCAATATATCTACATTTAGATTAGGGATCGGCCGATATTCGGTATTGGCCAATAAGATACCGATATGGCTGATAATACATACCAGGACCACCAGGCTTATTACAAGCCCGGCGGTCCTGGGAAGTTCCAGCAGCAAGCTGTTACTTACCTCCCAGCAGCTCCCAGTGTAAATCTTGCGAGTCCCGCGGCTGTCAGAGCGTTGCCATGGTTTACCATGACAACGCTCCGCGCGGCACACAGACCACGAGATTTACACTGGGAGCTGCTGGGAGGTAAGCAACAGCTTGCTGCTGGGATCTCCCACTGCTCAGTCCATGCCACTGAACATAAATATTAAAAATTAAAATAAAAAAATGCCCTCTCCCCCCCCTAATTATATACACACACTACACTCGCACACTACATTCATTATATACACACACACTGCATTCATTATATATACAAACTATACAAACACACTGCATTCATTATATACACACACACGCTATACAAACACACACACTATACAAACACACACTCTGCATTCGTTATATACACACACACTATACAAACACACACTCTGCATTCGTTATATACACACACACACACTATACAAACACACACACTCTGCATTCGTTATATACACACACACTATACAAACACACTCTGCATTCATTATATACACACATATATATATATATATATATATATATATACACACACACACACACACACACACTACACAAACCCATTGCATTTATTATATACACACACACACTATACAAACACACTGCATTCATTATATACACACTACACAAATACACACTGCATCCACTACACAAACACACACAGCTCCCCTGTCTAAGCACACTGCATCCACTACATGTGGCATGTTTATTTTGTGCATTTACCTTTAGAAATAGTTTATTTTTCCCAAATGGTAAACGTACAGAATATTGGCAAGTTATCGGCTATCGGCCTGAAAGTTCACAGATTATCGGTATCGGCTCTAAAAAAAAATCAATATCGGTCGATCCCTAAATTAGATCAAGGTTAATATCTGGAGCTTTTATCCACATCGGTTGGGTTAGATGTATCTGGGTTAGACAATTCGGGAATTGTTAAGTAGTGCTAAAAATGGTCTTTTGGGCCTATGCACTTACTGTGTGGGTTTTCCACAAATTCCCATTCTAGTGAATAAATCACAATATGCAGTCTTGAAATGCACTTGTAACTTGTTCAGTTTGAGGTTTAAAAAAAATAAATAAAAATAACGCCACTGCAAGTGCTCAAAACCCATAGGTTTAAATCGGCACAAAACAAAAAAAGGAACAACCGGGGGAAAGGCACACCTAATGCGTTACGGGATTATAGGTCCTTAGACATAGGAGTAACCACTGTTTGCAAAAAAACGGTCAGTTATATAAACAAAAACAAAAAAACACTAAAATGCACGTGACGTTTACTGCGCATGAAAGCACACGTACCAGACACAATGTTGCTGGTAATTATCTTGCCCCCCAGGGTGGCTAATGACTTTGGTACCACAGTGATGATACTTCCACTCGTCGTCTTCACATATGTAGCCCCGGGCGTGGCAGCCATACGGGCACCAAGGGTTGAGCTGACAGCCGGACGTGTATACGTGGTTTGTGTACCTAATGAAATATGAACGTTGGTTATAATGCAAATACACCAAAAACACAAAATATGTACAAATAAAAGAAAATACAATTATGTTCTAGATTTTTCAAACTATAGTAAAGATTCTATTTACAGATCGTAAACACATGAATCCTAATTTTCACAGATTTTCCCTCCTGTTGCAGGTTTTGTCTTTTATCTCCTGCTTTTAGAAGCATAAGAGAGAAATTCCCATAATGTGCAGAGCGCATGTCATTAAACGTGCTTGTGGCAAGGCATGGTATGGATACAGAGTGTCTCAGCAGTGCCCTGGCTAGCTGGCTGGCATGTATGCCACAATGACATGCCCCTTTCTGATCACATACATAACTGGCACCGTTCCATATAACTTTCTATACGAGCCAACAGTCTTACCGCTGGGAGTCGTGACCAATTTTGTGGTCATGATGGCTCCGTTGCTGCTCACTACCATTATGGGGGTGTTGCTACTGTTTGGCAGACCAGCAGTCACTGGTTTGGGGAGGATTTTACTGGGCTGAACCTGCTGCGTGATTATCTTAACACCTGCAGAGGGAAAAAAAAAAGGAGGGTGGGGGGGGGGGAACAAAACAAAAACTATAACAAACATTTTATCACTCACACAGAACAAATACTGAGGACAGTCAAAGTGGACCAGCTACTCCCCAAATCATAAATCTATTTTCCATATAGTGCCAGTGAAATCGGCAGATAGCATATATATATAAAATGTTATTTGATTTTAATGCAGTCTAGCTCATGTATTTGTGTAAGGCCGTGATGGCTAACCTATGACACGCATGTCAAAGGGGACACGCCAAGACATTTTGGGTGACACGCACAGGGCCGGCTTCCTTAGGGCGTACCAGCCCGGGGGCACAAATATCCGGGTGACCGGCAGGAGGGAAGCGCACAGTGCTCCCTCTCCTGCCGGTCATTTCCTGTAGCGCACCCGTACCTTGGCTGCCCGGCGCGGAGTGTCAGTTCTGTATAGGTCCTGGAAGCCAGAAGATAACGTCACATTCCGGCAGAGGCACTACGGGGCGAGCGTGCGAGCTATACACTTATACAGGACATGCTGATATTGAACGGAGCTCTCTCTTAGGAGCAGGGAAGCAGTTTACTAGACCCCAGGATCCACTCCAGCTCTTCAGGTAGGGAGACTGGGTTGATTGTAGAAAAAAAAAGTGTGTGTGTATGTCCCACTACCCCTTCCACCATAGCCCAAGTCCCACACAATACCGTCCCTATCCCCTCCCACCATAGCCCAAGTCATCAATACTTTCCTACCCTCCACAATACTGTCCCTACCCCGTAGTATAGCACCATTCCTCCACAATACTGTCCCACTACACACAATGCTACCCCCATCAATCCCAGTCCCCTACAATACTGCCCCTACTCCCCACAATACTGTTCGTACCCCCCCCACCATAACCCCAGTCCCCCACAATGCTGTCCTGCCCCCAATACTGTTCCTATCCTCCCACCATATCCCCAGCCCCCCACAATACTGGTATTGCCCCCCACAAAAGCATCAACACCCACAATACTGTCCATATCCCCCTTCCACCATAGCCCCAACCCCCACAATACCGTTCCCATCCCCTCACTAATGCCACAATCCATCACAATTCTGCCCCTATCACATCACACTAAAGCCCTATTAAATTATGAATATTTCTAGATGTGACATGGCACCTGAGTTAAGCTAAGTTTTTGTTGGTTTTTTTTTTACGAATTTTGACACACCGAGCTCAAAAAGGTTCGCCATCACTGGTATAAGGTGTATGTTAAAGGACCACTCTAGGCACCCAGACCACTTCAGCTTAATGAAGTGGTCTGGGTGCCAGGTCCAGCTAGGGTTACCCCATTTTTTTTTTTTTATAAACATAGCAGCTCTTGCCGCGCGTGCGCATTCAGCCGAACAGGCGGAGAGGAGGCGGATCGGAGGAGGAGAGCTCCCCGCCCAGCGCTGGAGAAAGGTAAGATTTTACCCCTTTTCCCCTTTCCAGAGCCGGGCGGGAGGGGGTCCCTGAGGGTGGGGACACCCTCAGGGCACTATAGTGCCAGGAAAACGAGTATGTTTTCCTGGCACTATAGTGATCCTTTAATGTTATACGTGTATATTCTATAGTGAAAAATAAACATACAGGGATGTAGCAAAAAGAAAATTTACATTTATGTTAATTGTTCAATGTGTAAAAGTTATTGACACGCATACACTGTGGTAGTGACAGGGCTTAAACTGTTTTACACTTCTCTTACATGATTGGCATTTACACAGCATACCCACCAGATTCCTGCTTGATCTGTATGGTTGGCTTGACGCCAGGGGAAATTGGAGCCTGCGGAGTAGTCGTGTGCGTGATGGAGGTTGGCTGTGCCAGGTGTGTGGTCTGCTGCGTTACATGATGAATCTGGTGTTTTGGCGACTGCTGATACTGTTTTGGAAACTGTGCTAGGATCTGACCTGGTGTGGCAACCAAACTCTTGGGAGAAGGTAGTCTGTTGGATGGTACTTTCATTGAAGAGGCTGAGACACATTTAATGTAACAGGAAAAATAAAACATATCTCATCAGACATGTGTCGAAGGAATGGTTTGAACATAAAAACAGCAAAAACTCTGATAAACCACAATTTAGACAGTGCCGAAACTGTAAATATCCACCCAGAGGGAACACACAATAACGGATTCTCTGGGGTATGGATAATATTTATTGGAAGGACATGTAACGTAATAGTACATCGCCCCAGAAAGCATTTCAAGATTTCAATTACACAGCCTTTAAATTTAACTAAATAAATAAAAAAATACCAATGAAACAAAATTTTAAATCTATTTAGTGGGAAATAGAGACAGAATCTGGTATATCGTGTTTCCATGACAGCCCATCTCACCCAGTTTTTCACACGGTTTGGTATGGCTGCGCTAGGTGTAGTTAAAGGCTATGAAAGGTGCAGTGGTGTCGCTAGGATTCATTTTTAGGGGGGGGCACATGGTGGGCCAGGGACAAAAGTAGGGGGGCACATTTAACCCCGCCCTGCCGCATGTTAAGCCCCGCCCCCGAAACTTTTTTTTTAATAATCCCTGGTGGAGAATTCATTATTTTCCACCAAGGATTATTAAAAAACAAACATTTTCCTTGATACAGTCCATACACACACACACACAGATTGCTGAGTCTATACACACACACACACACACACAGCTGAGTCCATACGCACGCACGCAGACCGCTGAGTCCATACGCACGCACGCAGACCGCTGAGTCCATACGCACGCACGCAGACCGCTGAGTCCATACGCACGCACGCAGACTGCTGAGTCCATACGCACACAGACTGCTGAGTCCATACGCACACAGACTGCTGAGTCCATACGCACACAGACTGCTGAGTCCATACGCACACAGACTGCTGAGTCCATACTCACACAAGCTTCCTCACTAGCAGACACACACACACACCCCAAGCCTACCTGTCACTGGAGGCTGTTGCTGGGGGTCAGAGAGCCATCTTCCATCCTTTCCAGCAGCAATATGGTCTGCTGCTTAACGGCGGGGTGGGGCTTATGAGCGGGGGTGGGGCTTCGGTTGGGGGGCATGGCCTATTCCCAGGAGCCTCTCAGTGCTCCCTCCGGCCACAGAGAACACCCAGCACCTCGGTCCTGCATTCCCTCGGGCTGTCACAGACTGTTACAGCCAGAGGGAATATAATCTTAAGCACAGCACGTGGCCAGGAAGTTGCCAGCGTTTGGGGGGGGGCACAGCATGATGTAGGGGGGCCTAGTGACGTCACTGGAAAGGTGTGCCTGCAAAATGCAATCTCAAAAAGTTCCAAGTGGAACCTGAATGAAGGGGTAAAATAAACATTGGTGCATTTCATTTCTTTTCTGATGCCATTAATGCATCTAAACAAAATAAAAATAAAGTCTCAGTCCCTACATAGATGCTAGTTTATTAAAAAACATTTAAAAAAAATATTTATGTTGGACACATATTATACAATATTCATTAAAGGTATACTCTAAACATTAAAACAACATTAGCGTAATTAAGTGGTTTTGGTGTATAGATCATGCCCCTGCAGTCTCAATGCTCAATTCTGTGTAATTTAGAAGTTCAATCACTTTTGTTTCTGATTATGCAATCCTAGCCACATCTCCCCAGGCTGTGACTGACAAAGTCTGCATAATAAAAATGGTTTTATTGTCAAACAGATCTCACAGCACAATGTGTTTACTTTAGAAGCTTTTATTTCCTGCTGTAAACTGAACTTTATATCACACAGAGGGCTCTAGCGGGCTGTTAACAGGGAAGGAGAGAATAACGTCTAAAGTAAACACAAAGTACAATGAAGGAAGCTAAAAATATTGACTTTTTCAGGTGAGGCTGTTTAGGTCACAGCCAGGGAAGGTGTGACAAGGGCTGCAGAAACAAGGTGATTTAACTCCTAAATAGAAGAGAATTGAGCAACGAGACTGCAGGGGCATTATCAATACACAAAAACTGCTTCATTAAGCGAGCAGTTGTTTTAGTGCTTATAATGCACCTTAAATCAATGCTACAGTTTTGTGAAAGAAAACAAAATTCTATAAAAACATGAAAAGACAGGGGGAAAGGGCTTACCTTGCGCCATTGTGGACATGACCAGTGAAGGGGTAGCAGAAACCACTGTAGTGACAGCAATACTACCAGAGGACAAAGGGGCAGAAGGTCCGCCTTCAATGGCTGCCGGGATAAGCGAGGATTGCGAAGAGGTGACAATTAATGGCTGTTTCTGTGTGGTGGATGTTATGACGGAGGTGGGTATCAGTTTGGTGACAGCGGCATAGTTGTGGGACTTCGATAAAATGTTCGGAACAAATGTGGAGCTTGGAGAAGTCGTTACTATAATTACCTGTAACCAAAAAAAATAATGCATCCTTTCAAGAAGTATTATTTCAAAAACATTATTTACATCAATTTCACATGAAATGGCTGTTTAAATGAAGCACCAGCAGACTCCTGGCAATTTTTGAATCAGTAATAACAACAACAAAGTATTTAACCAGGAAAAGTACATTCAGATTACTCTGGTTTCCAAGTGCATCCTGCGGATGTTACTATTGCCCAATTTAAAGGTACTCATTTTATCTACCTCGGAAGGATCAGACAGCCCTGCCAGGATTTGAACCAAGGGTTCAAAAGATTCTACTGATGATGCATTAGCCCACTGAGCTATCTCATTGGCATTTTTAGTGAATATTCGGTAAGTTCACAAACAAATCAATTCAGAATCACCAAAATTAAAACCAATTCAAAAAGGATGTTAATTCAGCTGAATCGGACTAGGTTCTTTCTAGGCTAACTGAATTTTTGAAATCTATTCGTTCACTGATTGTCAGAAACATTATTCTAACAAACTGCTTAAAAATATTTTTGCACATGTCTAATTTTAAGGTTAATAACCCTCAACGAAATGATGAAATCTCAGCTCTGACAAAACAATATTTTTTTAACCCGAGAGTCTTAGTGTACACTAGTACAGGCACTGACCTTCTGCGTGGAGGTATTGGTAGTCTGTGTGGTGGGTTTGGTAAAGGTGATCTTCACGGGAGACATGTGGGGAGGTAAAGAGTTGGCAATGCTCTGCATGATGTTGCTCATCTTGGGGCTCCCAGTGACGGGCACAGTAATGGTCTTGGAGACAGGCGTCAACATCTTGGGAACGTCCTTTAGGACAACGGGGGAACTACTATTGGAGTTTGTACGCCTTCTTTTCCGAGGTTTTTCGTCATCATCTGAGCAATTGACACCTGCAAAAGCACATCATAAAGAGCCACACCAAAAAAAATAATAATTGTGTTTTAGGATATATTAAACAATTTATTCCTCACTCAAGAGCCAGCATATTCCTATTGTGTTTTATACCCCGCCTTCTTTTTGTTTGAGCATGGTCCTCTTCAACCTATCATTCCTGTAAGTTTTCTTGTAATTTATTTATTTATTGTTAAATCCCCCCTCTAATAATATTGTAAAGTGCTATGGAATCTGTTGGCGCAATATAAATGGTGATAAAAATAATATTACCAAGTTTTGAACAATGTATATGGTATGGTACTAACTAGCGCGAATGAGCAGGAAGTTATTTTTTGCAAGTCTCCAGCTACAATAACAGAGCTCAGCGTTAAGGCCAATAATATTATGTCCTAAAGATCACAAAGGAAGCCCACTCGCATGATCTTCTAGCACAATACCCACCTGTCTATAACCTTAATTTATTTATGCCAGATATACTAAAAACAAAGTCAATTTCTGTTATATATATATATATATATATATATATATATATATATATATTTATACACACACACACACACACACTTTATTTAGTCTGTTCCAGAGCAAAGTGCAGGATACACAGCAGTACTTACTTTTCACATAAACTGTGCTGCCGCTTGGAAGTACGACCACGTTTGAAGCAGGGCTGGCTGGTCGGGGAGACTTTACAGTGGCCACGCTACCGCTGGGAACTGGGGTGGAGGTGGGTGTTGACGTGGTACTTGTATAGGAGTAACATACTACCACTGGAAGAAACATATTTACAGGAATTACATGCACTTATTTTGTAAAAGAACATTTGTTGGGTGCACGGCCCACAGACCGCATGATTTAATGAGAAAATACTGATCACAAACGATCAATCAAAAATGACATGAAATGGGAATGCATAGTGCTCACTGCCAGTTCTCTTTGCACGATCTTCACTACAATCCAATCATGTCGTACAGATAGAACCAGCATAACCATGGATGGAGGATAGGGACTGGCACCAAACGAACTACTAAAATGTTCAGATAGTAAGAATTCAGAGAGGATAATCTTGGTGCACGTGGGACTTGTCTGTTTTATGGGTGGGAAATACTAGAACATTTAACTTGTGAAAAATTTGAGCTTTGCTATTGTAGTGCAAGCTACACCATTTAATTGAGCAATTTAAAATGACTCCTGAATGCCCACGGACCGCTCATGCTTTGCAGAGTCATCCCAACACCCCATACAGTAAAATGAAGCCATAGAAACAGGAACAAAAATATGTACATTGGGACAAATTCATTTAACAAAAAAAAAAAAACTGGGGCAAAGTTCTAAAATAATACCACCGATCTTCTATTAGTAAATTCCCCCAGTTTTTATCTAGCAGCACCAAGCTGACTGTAAATATCTTAGCGAGGTATAACAGTGCCCAATGATAATGGCCGATTAGATTAGGACTTACCTTCTTTGTGACCAGTCTCCGCAGGGTCTGGAAGGGCAGAGTTGTGCTGTCCAGCAGAGTTTGCGATGGCATTGGCAGTGGCAGTAAAAGCCGTCTGTGGGACTAAGCGAGGCATCAGTGGCACCAAACGTCGCCCCTCGATGGACCACTCGGAAGAGCTGTTTGGACCAGACATGCTAGAAAACCAGAATGTAAGCTCGGTAGGACACAATCTAATCTAAATTCAAATTAAAAAAAGCACCCACTACTTTTCCATGGTAACGCCAATTCGGATTGTACCAGTTCATCCCTACTTACTTTCCCTCGGTTTTATATAGACTTTATTCTATTAGTTTCTCTCTTCAAACCCATTTACACCCACAAGGCTGTGCGGATTTCACATTCCTGGGACACTCGGCCGGCTGTGTATCATGTGAGCTACTATTTATTCACAAGAAATACACAAAATACTATAACTGGTGCAGCTTAAAAACACCTTAAAATAAAGATTTTTTTATTGATTTTTTTATATGTAAAAACCAGAAGCAATTTTTTTTCTCTCTTTATTTATATATGTCAAAACAGGAAGCACCATCTTAGTGGTGGCGAGATGCTTCCTGCAATGACCAAATATGGACATTCAATTACCATTTCCTGCTGCTACACCTGTCTCCAATATGGTAAATTGGAGACATATATATAGGTGGGTCAGCAAATGGGGAGGATATACTGCACTTGAAAAAGACCCTGGAGGGTCGAACGCGTTGTGCTAGCTGCTGTGTCAGCCATTTCTGCTTTTATTATTTTATACCAAATAAATGTTTATTTTAACACTTCACCTTACCTGGTTCCTGCGAAGAAAAACTTTTTACAAACATTTAAGGAGGATCAGATCCAGTGTATCCCTTGGTGGATGAAATACCTTTACAGTCCAGAGCCTAACTTATGTGGCTCTGGAAAGTGTGAGTGAACCTTTTTTATTCTCCACATATTGTAAATAGGTTTCAGCAGTATACACTATGTTGTTTTCTTGTGTATATTATATATAGGGTCCACAGTTACTGTCTGTTGCTGAAAATAGGACCTATATAAGATTTTAAAGGTAAAATATTCCACTGTTTGTGTGCTTTCACCCTTTTTTTTTCTGTTCACTATTTATTCACGCTGCACGGCAAACACTCTCTACCTGACATGTTATGCTACGAGACAGTCACCACTCACTTGTGTGCAATGGTTGTGAGGCGCTCATCGTTCACCGCCCTTCGTACCTCTGCCCGGTGCCGCTCTGTTGAAATGCTAGCACAAAATAGAAGGAGTAATGTTCGTTGGATGCCGCAAGTTATAACACGAGTGAACACATGGAATACATCGTAGAATACAATGCTAATTATTCACACATTATGCTATCAAAACCTCAGACACAAACGGTCAGGAACATTTACAGGTTATTTATCAAAGTGAAAATTACCGGAAATTAAAACTGAAAATAAAATTAATTGAAAATTGAAAGTCAAAAGGAGCCGAATGGGAAGCATAGCGGACTTGGGGAATTTTTAGATTTCGGCAGCTTTAAATTTGAAATTCCCAACAATTATTACTTTAGTAAATAATCCTGTCAGTGTGCACATGAACCACTAAGTAATTCCAGAAACGTGAGCTGCCTATAAAATAGAGATGAATATTTATTCTATAACTGTGACACTGTGCTGGTTGGTTTCTATAGTCTATATACACAATGTAAAAGCTCTACATGTGACTATCGTTATTATACGGAATATGGGGATTACCTTAACACTTTCGACAGCTCCCCAAGAAGATCTTTCTTTTCCTTACTGAGGTCTCCCTGGGCGCGGAGGGCGCTAATAACGCCAGCATACGCCTCCAGCTCTGAAAACCAGGAACAGGAGTCACATGGAAAGGACATTAATGACTATACAGATTCATTTATTGTTATATTGTATGTATACTTGACTGACAAGGGTTTGAAATGAGGTAATATGTAAGCAACAGTACCAAGAGAGTAGGCAGATTTACATATCACCTTTTACACAGCATGGCTTTTCATCTGAAAACTTACATCTAACCGTTGAATATATAAATGTATAGTTTTATACTTGAACACTCTGGATTGTACAAAGATTAGCCTCCTCTTTATTATCTATAATACCCGTATTAGCAATGTTACAGTTAGAGTGATACTCCGAATACGACAGTCTCTTCAAATAAATTATAAATAGAAAGTACATTACAAATACGAACTCCCCCTCCCAACTCCAGCCGCCAGCCGATGAAGTGCCATGTCGTGACCTCACGTCACCCCTCCCTGTGAGTCCTAGCATGCATCGCTCAGCTGAAGGCAGGGAGGTATAATCTACTGTATTTTGCTGAGCTGGCTGACTCAGAGACAAGAGTGTAACTGCTGTCAGTAAGCACACTCTTATCAGTAACAGTGCTGTACATGATGGGATCTCAGTGATCTCATTATTTACTGGCTGGCTGAGAGTGATAGGAATGTGACTGCTGTCAGTAAGCACACTCTTATCAGTAACAGCACTGTACATGATGGGATCTCAGTATGTTCTGGCTGCTTGACAGTGATAGGAATGTGACTGCTGTCAGTAAGCACACTCTCAGCTGGAAGTGACGTCACGAGAGGTGTGCACGTTATATGTGGATGTAGACTGATAGCTGTTGAGCTAGAAAGCAGCAGCAGTCTAAACAGCGAACTATTAAACTTTTGATAATTTTTAAGGTGGGGATTATACCACCAACGCTATATATACCAGAGCAATTCTTGCTCTGGGAAATGTGAGTATGTTACTTTATTTATATTACTCCACATTTACAAATATTTATTTCACCATTGGAGTATTATTTTTGTATCTATCCCTACCTATATTCTCTATACACACACTGCACTCCATTTGGGACACCTATACCAACTTATATCCTTAGACGGGGTTTGTTCCGTCCATGCGCTGAAACAGTTGAGCTCTGAGATAGCTCAATTAAATGTAAGTGTAATCACACATCACTTACTTATTGTACATACTGTATTGCACTATTATGGTTTCTTCTGTTTTATATGAGGTCCAATACGTGTATAATTTCAAAAGACCTATGTACTAATGGAGTTTTGTACGTAATCTTTGGGCGCAGTTACTTTCCTTTTCCTCTTGATACACTCTTATCAGTAACAGCACTGTACATGATGGGATCTCAGTATGTTCAGGCTGCCTGAGAGTGATAGGAATGTGACTGCTGTCAGCATGCTCAGATTTGTGTAAAAATCTTTACTTTTTCAAAACTTTAAATGTACAGAATATCGGCATTGGTAATCAGCCAGGAGGGTGCCCAATAATCAGTATTGGTTCGGCTCTGTAAAATGGATATTGATCGATCCCAAGTAAATAAATACCATACTAGCTGCATGTTAATATATAGACAAGCCCTCATTTTCAAACGTTAAAATTAAGAATTTAAAAATGTGATTTTTGTAGTTGGTCTGCAGTGGTTATGGTGCCTCTAAAGCACATTACCAACCTGGGGTGGGAGTCACGGAAGAACTACGATTTCCAGCAGAAACTAGACTATTCCCCAGTCAGATCATTAGTAAACAGTTCCAGAAGCAATGTTTTCAGAGAAGGATGGATGAAGACTGCATCGTCTTCTCAAGGGTAAAACGTCCATCTTGGAATGGTCACCACAGAAATCGCATTTTACTCATTGCATGGCGAGCATTTCGGGCATTTTTAGAGTATTGGTTTGTAGAACTGAGGGCCTCATGACTACATGAAGATTATAAAATCAGTAAATAAATTACCCAGGAATAATAATAATAAAAAAAATAGAATCTGATGTCTCCTTACACGCCTGCTTTATATGCAAAGACAATGAACATTAGAACAAACAGGCTAAGTGTCAGAGTAGATGGGAAACCGCTGCCTGCAATTCTGCTATCATGCCAGGAGCGTATCAAGCACCGCACATCCCCTGCAGCCCTCGGCAAGCAAACTAATACACAGCAACACAGGAAACGGCCACAATGACATCACCAGAGACAAAAAATAACACGTAACCTAAACAGAGCGAGGCAGCCACATATAAACTAGACAGAGCGAGGCAGCCACATATAAACTAGACAGAGCGAGGCAGCCACATATAAACTAGACAGAGCGAGACAGCCACATATAAACTAGACAGAGCGAGCCAGCCACATATAAACTAAACAGAGCGAGACAGCCACATATAAACTAGACAGAGCGAGGCAGCCACATATAAACTAGACAGAGCGAGACAGCCACATATAAACTAGACAGAGCGAGCCAGCCACATATAAACTAAACAGAGCGAGACAGCCACATATAAACTAAACAGAGCGAGGCAGCCACATATAAACTAGACAGAGCGAGGCAGCCACATATAAACTAGACAGAGCGAGGCAGCCACATATAAACTAGACAGCGCGAGACAGCCTTATTTAAATTAGACAGAGCGAGACAGCCACATATAAACTAGACAGAGCGAGACAGCCACATATAAACTAGACAGAGCGAGACAGCCACATATAAACTAGACAGAGCGAGACAGCCACATATAAATTAGACAGAGCGAGACAGCCACATATAAATTAGACAGAGCGAGACAGCCACATATAAACTAAACAGCACCCAAACAGAGCAAGTCAGCCTCATGTGGCACAAAGCACCCAAACAGAGCAAGACAGCCTCACGTGGCACAGAGCAAGACAGCCTCACGTGGCACAGAGCAAGACAGCCTCACGTGGCACAGAGCAAGACAGCCTCACGTGGCACAGAGCAAGACAGCCTCACGTGGCACAGAGCAAGACAGCCTCACGTGGCACAGAGCACCCAAACAGAGCGAGACAGCCTCACGTGGCACAGAGCAAACAGAGCCAAACAGAGCACCCAAACAGAGAGACAGCCTCACGTAGCACAGAGCACCCAAACAGAGCGAGACAGCCTCACGTAGCACAGAGCACCCAAACAGAGCGAGACAGCCTCACGTAGCACAGAGCACCCAAACAGAGCGAGACAGCCTCACGTGGCACAGAGCACCCAAACAGAGCGAGACAGCCTCACGTGGCACAGAGCACCCAAACAGAGCGAGACAGCCTCACGTGGCACAGAGCACCCAAACAGAGCGAGACAGCCTCACGTAGCACAGAGCACCCAAACAGAGCGAGACAGCCTCACGTAGCACAGAGCACCCAAACAGAGCGAGACAGCCTCACGTAGCACAGAGCACCCAAACAGAGCGAGACAGCCTCACGTAGCACAGAGCACCCAAACAGAGCGAGACAGCCTCACGGCACAGAGCACCCAAACAGAGCGAGACAGCCTCACGTAGCACAGAGCACCCAAACAGAGCGACAGCCTCACGTGGCACAGAGCACCCAAACAGAGCGAGACAGCCTCACGTGGCACAGAGCACCCAAACAGAGCGAGACAGCCTCACGTGGCACAGAGCACCCAAACAGAGCGAGACAGCCCACACACCTGGCTATTCCCTGAATTTGTACAGAATTAAAATCTGAATTGCAGTATTGAGGATAAATAGTCAAGCTTTGACTATAGCTCAGTTGGAATGTCTCCATAGGTGCTATATTTGCCCTCATCTTGCTATTAAGACTTTAACACAATATAATCCTGAGCTTAGTTAATAACCCTGACAGCACAGAAAAGCTGAACAAACGACAGAGACAGTGAGAGACAGAGTGAGACAGCACGAAGCAACCACCAGCTGGCATTAGACTACTCCTTTTATGCACAGCCAGCCAGAGGACTGATGCACTAAACTGGAGGCGTGATATACACTATATGACAATTCATACGAGTGACAATCACAGACAATGTAACTAAACACAGCATTGTCCTGCTTTAATGTGGAGAGTATCCCTCTACAGTGGTATTGGAATCTACAAATACAAGGAGGGGTCACCATGGCAACAGAGAAATGGGACCTAGAGAGGAGAGTCTGTCCCCATGTCAACTCAAGTTATATAATGTCACACACACACACAGTACGCTGACTGAATACAGAGCTCGAGAGAGAGAGCAAGAGCTGCCTCTGCTACAGCATGATGCAGACAGTGTGCACCCATCGCACTGCAGGGACAGAGCAGCTTCACGGCCTATGAAGGTGAACAGAAAGAGCTAGGAGATAATTAAACGTGCGAGTGTGTTGGTTTGACTAGTCATGTCTGTGTCCGTGATTGACTGTATAGGTTAGAGATTGGCACGTTCTGCATGTTTATGTGTATGATGGGCTAATGGACTGTATGTCAATGAATGCAGATTTGGCCTGGCTCCCAGCTATTGTCACTGTCTCCTAGATTCTCGGGAAGTATGGCTCCTGTCTGCTCCAACGTGAGCTGAGCAGGCTCCATACGCTGGACTTTGACACTGCACTAGTATGAGAGGTGTAATGCCCTCGGCAAACAGAGGCTGGGCCTGAAATGGAATGAATTAATCACTATTCAATATACCAAATAACTCTCCGTAAACGTTAGATCAAAACAGCCATTTATGGACAAACAAGAAAACAGGAAAGTAACCAGGTAAGTTGATCTGTTCTAATGTCGTTCTGTGAAATGTTGGCGATTGTTATTCTCTACAATGTAGAGTCTACATGAATATAAATCACTATATCACTATATTACGCTTATTTACTCCATTAACGAAAATCAAGACAATATCAGAAAAGGAGCTGTCACTTCTGTGAAAACTACTGAGTATTAACTGCCCAAAAATAAACATTAGAGAAAAAGAATAAGCGCAAATCATAGTTTTTTATAGTGAGGTGAAATCTTCGCCTTATCAAAATGTGTCCCACTTCAAATTAATCCTTTTTGTGGAAGAATGAAAACAAAGCAACATAGCTTATGGTAACAAATGTATTTAGTGGGCAGAAAGCAAGAATTGTATGCTGTACTATCTGCACTCGCAGAGAACCATAACAACCACTAGGTGGCATAGGAGCCTGTAATTGAACCATTCATAAAATACGTAGGTGGGTGGGTGTGTGTTTGTCAAAGAATCAAAATAAAAACACACACACGCCAAACGACTTGCTTGAATTCCTGTGTAACCCAAGACATTACAATTACCCGTGGATCTAAGCAAGTCTGAGGATTCTGCCACGCTCCGGCAACGAATACTCTAAATGAAATTACAGTCATTTAATAAAACGGTGACCGGGAGATCAGCTTGGCTCGAGATGTTGCACTGTTCTAAGGATAAAGCGTGGATTTGCAGGTCTTCACGCTGATCACTCATTGGCCGTTATTTAGGATTTATTTTTTGGGGTAGCCTAGCATAGCCCTGGGAAATGTTTGCGTTATTAATAAAATGTATTAATATTCTCAATAACTGTTGGGAACATTTAATAAAAGTGAAAACAAACCGTGACACAAGCGCTGTTCAAATATGTCCTTTCACTCAATTATTAGAAATGGAAACGGACAACCTAACACAGGGGTTGGCAACCTTCGGTACTTTCGATGTTTTGGACTATCTCCCATAATGTTCTGGCAAAGCATCATGGGAGATGTAGTCCACATCATCTGGAGTGCCAAAGGTTGCCTACCACTGGTCAATCAGTACAATGGATGGCCAGTCATGTGATTATGCAAGGAGTAAACATTGCCCAGGGCCAGCTGGAGGGAGAGCGATGTGAAACAGCAACAACAAACGTTAGGCACTCCAGATATTGTGGACTACTACTCCCATGATGCTTGGGCTGTCTCAACAACACGAGATACAGAGTCTGCAGAAGTTTAATTGTTTCTCATGTTAAATGAATAAAATATGTAAAAATACCTAGCTTGCGAAGAATCCTTTTGCATTCATCTCTGCTGAAGTCAAGGAGAGTTGGCCACACCACAGGCATCTTGACGTCAGCCCGCCCTCCCTGCAAGACAAAGCCAGATTTTATAAACACAAGCAGCGTCTATTGTTAAACCACACTCAATCCTTAGCTCATTGTGATGGAAGCCAGCCCTGGCTTCCATATCAATGTAACCACCAGAAAGCAGAGGGATTAGAAATGGCAATTCCTTAATTGTCTTATACTGCGGCATCAACAGAAAGCCTTAATTATCCTTAATTTAGTTGCTATGGGAATTGGAATAATTGGAGACAAGGAACATGTAATCCATGGAGAAGGAGTAAGCAGCCCCAGCCATGTATTGCTTTACCATAACTGGAAGGGCAGGGGAAATTCATCATCAGCTCAGGATAGTGGGAGTTGCAGTTATAGTGTGCAGCCTGGAACTGACAGCACAAGAGGGGTCAGGGAAGTTTCAGCGTTTTATATAAATGATGTATACAGGAAGAGGGACACATGGCAAGGTAGTATGAACTTAGGATAGTGGGAGTTATGTTTTATATAGATGATGTAATACAGTAAGATTAATATGAGCTGAGGATAGTGGGAGTTGCAGGGTGAAAAACATTAAGGGGCAGGCCTGTATGAAATTATGATTTTGGGAGTGGCAGTCTGAGGTTTCCAACAGGATAGTGATAGTGGGAGTGTTATAATAACAATGAGGGGCAGTGGCAGCTGAGGATAGTGGGAGTGGTAGTGTTATGATGAGGAGAGTGGTGGTATTGTGATGGGGATAGTGGGAGTGTTATGGTGGGGAGAGTGGGAGCGGGAGTGTTATGGTGGGGAGAGTGGGAGCGGGAGTGTTATGGTGGGGGGGATAGTTGGAGTGGTAGTGTTATGGTGGGG